AAGCCGTCGGAGGACTCTGAGGATTCGCAGACCGAAAGAGAGTTGCCGCAAACGCTCCAGGGGCCGACGATTATCACCACAGGTCCAGACGGCGAGTGCCCAATCACACCCTCGCAACCTCAGCATTCCATGGACGACGTAGATTCACCGCTTCGCAATCCTCGCGCGGCCCCCCCAGTCCCTCCGATTAATCCTCCTGCGATTCAGTTCATCCCCGCGACGCCTTCGGGATTAACCCCCAATCATGAGAGACAACGCAACATGGGCAATTATTTCGAGGCGATGGAAGAGGAGCAACCTCAGCGGAGTAGATCTGTTATCAAAAGGGCATTGGTCCGACGACGCAACTCGGAGACGTACCCGCCCAAGAGTGGCAGACCTGGGCTCCTTACCAGAACCTTTTCTCTCACGAGAAGAGGATCAAGCTCTGGGGCTCGTGGTGACGACCACTCTGCTGTTGAAGAGCCATGCTCGTGCCCGGAATGCATGGCCCCGCCCCCCGAGGACGACCGATTGCATCCGCACTGGCGCCCTGCGTACTCGGATCAGGATGACGATGTGTGGGAGAGGGAGATGGAAGATGAGCCCATTAGCCAAGTCTATCGATACCCTCCCATTGACAATAGGCCAAGCCCGCGAAGACGTATTAGCGAGCGGGTGAAGAAGACGTTTGCAATCCTTCCTGCTCGCGGCGAGGATGACGTCTACTCTGGATCTCAAAACGAGCCTGACCGCCGAACCATTCGCCGGACAGACAGCGGGAATCTGCGGGTGATGAGACGCCGCGGCAGCCTCGACTCGCTCCGCGACCAATCCCCACCTACCTCGGGACCTTCCACGAGGCAGAACGACGATCGCGACGCAGACGGGCCCCCGAAACGAAGACGTCGTTTTTCGATCTCGGGCACTTTGGAAGGGTTGCAAAACCTGCCGCGACAGCTGAATGAGCGTAAGCGAGAGAAGAGAACCCAGGAGTTGAGGCAGAAGATCAGCGGGCCGCGCGAAGTAAGAGACGGCATGGGTGACGTCCTTCGACGGAACTCGTACCGTGGCCCCCCAAACGAACAAAACAGCTTACCGGTCGCACATTTTTGATGCGACTGCAACGTACAAAATTTCCCGAGTACTTCAGATGATGATCCTGTCTGGAGCACTTTTTTCAACGCGTAATATATCTGGGTATGAAGCACAAATGGAGGGTGCTGGAGGAAATGAATTGGGACCCATCACGACTGCTACGAACGAACGCTTTTTTTCTCCATTTTTACGACTACAGAAGCCTGTTAACGACACAAAGAATTGCTTTCTTCGCGGATTTCGGAGCTGATGACGGAGGGTTTGATGACAAGGTTTCCCCACTATTTGAGACTTTGACGACGATATTGATGACAATGATTTTGGGACGGGGAATCGGGGTTTTGATGAACGATTGAACGCGCGCGCTGCCTGCTACAGATAAAGAAGGACGTCTTATTATTGTATCATATAGAAAAAAAAAACTGTACGTCAAGATACCATTTAACTCAGCGTTTCGGAACGAAACTTGCTTGACCGCGTTTCTCGGTTTTGCAGGATGAGCTTTTGCTTCCATGTGTTTGATTGAATGTGATATAACCATGCCCGTGTCATGAAAAACCTAAGTTTTGGATACACCCTTTTGCCCTGAATATGACGCCTAAACACCAATCCCACTTGTACCAAGAAGACACACGCCCAGATAATGCAGTTTGCCGTGGACGAAGACAGCCGCAAAGCATTCTACCGCCTGTCCTGACCTGGAGGTCCACCACCGGGCGGGAAGGCACCAGGAGGTCCAGGTGGGAACGCGCCGCCGCCCGGCATACCGGGAAACTGGAAGTTGGGGGGCAGACCGCCCGGCGCGCCCGGGGGCGGGAAGGGGAGACCGGCTGGGAGACCGCCGGGCGGGGGGAACGGTAGGCCACCTGGGGGCATTGGTGAGCCGTTGGGGCCCGGGGGGAAGGGGGGCATGGGTGGCATTCCGCGGCCTGCTTGTCCTGGGGCTATTGGATGTTTTGTTAGTTTGTGAGGGAGCTATCAAGACGAGCTTCATGGTGGAACCTACGTGGAATCATGCCTTGAGGGAAGGGGGGTGCGCCGGCGGGCATGCCGGGGAAGGGAGGGGGGACACCTGGAGAGAGGGAATCAGGTTAGTACTCGGTGCAATGGACCCGTGGCTATAGCGGCGCTGGAAGGGGTGGAGAGGTATATACGAACCTCCTGGGAAGGGGAAGGGCGGCGGGAAGGCGGATCCGGGCTGGTTTTGTGGCAGCATTGGGTTGTTGTGCGCTTGGCCTTCTGCGGCGTAGGAGGAGGTGATGGAGTCGATGACGGACTGAGCCTTTTCGTGACCGATTTCTGGAGAAGAAAGGGGGCATGTTAGCTTTCATGTGTCGTGGTGGTCGCGCAAGTAATGGGAAGAGGAGGAGGAGGAGGAGGAGGAGGAGCCGTACGTTGGTAGTAGTCGACTACGTTGCGCAGGTGGTTTCGACCGCTGTTATGCGCCTTGCGCACGCTCATGGAGTCGTGCGTGAGGTACACATCGCAGTAATCGCCTAGAATCGGGGAGTTCAGGTCAGTTCGGCTGAGTGGCTTCGCGGTCGATCGGGTTTTGATTGAGACGTACAGAAGACTGTGATCTCATGTTAGCTTGGTGTTTGCAAAGATACTTGGAGGAGGGTCGGGACTTACACTTGGGCATCTTGGTGGTAGTCTCTCTTTGACGAGAAGAAGCTGTATTAGATTGGCGAGGTTCCGATCAGACGGCAGTTCAGTCGGCAAAAATCGTGTTCCTGAAGCTGTAATGCCGCTTTTGTCGCATCGCGATATCGAAGAGCGGCCGACGCGCCAAACGCCACACCCAAAAAGCTGCGAGGCTGTCGCTCTCACGTGAGTGCCAAGGCACAAGGCTGCCCCGCCCACCGAGCCCAATTGGCCAGAGTGCTTGACCTCTACCCGTCCGACAGGGGTCCTCTATGTGGGTCCAGGCCTTTTCGAACGCGACAGATTTCCAAAAATCCCCAAAGGTGGTTCCTAGAGGCCCATAGCTCTCCTATCGCAGTTGTGTCCTCGTTAGCCCAGGGAGCTCCTTTACGACGCAATTCCCAACAACCCACGCCGGCTATTCTCCCCGCCCGCCCTTCTCCTCCTCAACCACGACGGTCCCGACATCCGAATCGACCGAACCCTTTCTCAACTTGTCTTCGATTGATACGGAAATCTGCGAATTAGCTATGGCGCCGACGACATCATTGCTGCGCTACGTGTGCGGTCTTGTGCTACTCGCTTGCTGCGCCCAGGCGCTCAGGTTCGACCTGCATGCTACGAGCACCCACGAGGGCAAGAAGGAGCGATGCATTCGCAATTTCGTCGCTAGGGACACCTTGGTCGTCGTCACGGCTATTGTGGATGGTTCAAAGGGTGACGGCATGACTGTCAATATGCACGTATGTGGCCTCAACTGCTATCCCCCCTACGCCATCTTCCCCGATATTGGGACTTGATCTGAGAAGAGATGGAAGGTTCCCGGGGGTCGAAACGGGATAGCAACAAGGGAGAGGATTGGGGGAAAGAGGAAACTGGTCGCAATGACAGTTTGGCTAACGATGGGTGATTCTCTAGATCAAGGATGCTGTTGGCAACGACTACGGAAAGCCCAAGGACATTGCAGGCGGCGAGAAGCGTGTCGTCTTCACCTCCCACGCAGACGCTGCCTTCGATGTTTGCTTCGAGAACATCCTCTCTGGCTGTACGTCGCACCCACTCACCCCTACAACCAGCCACATCGCCATGTCAATGGCTTGAACCCTCCACTTACCCAGTTGCTTTTGACCACCCTTTGCACGAAAGGGACAAGAACCAAGAAAACTGACGAGAGTGTCCCAAACCAACAGCCGGCCGCAGCGGCGCAACGAGTCGCCACATTGAGCTCGACATCGACATTGGCGCCGACGCAAAGGACTGGAACGCCATCCAGGCGACGGAGAAGCTCAAGCCCGTCGAGGCGGAACTCAGGCGCATCGACGAGCTCGTCAGCGAGATTAACACCGAGATGGACTACCTGCGCGCCCGCGAGCACAAGCTGCGCGACACCAACGAGAGCACAAACACCCGCGTCAAGTGGTTCGGGATCGGCACGACGCTCATCCTCGTCGGACTGTGGGGTTGGCAGATTATGTACCTGCGGGCATACTTCAGGTTTGTTGTCTGCTCTCTTTTGCTGTGCTGTCGGAGAAGCTTTGGACATGCTAACCGTGTGATGCTATGACAGATCCAAGCACCTGATTTAAACGCCATATATCGGTGAAGTGAAAAGGAAGTCAGCCAATGGCTTGCCAATAGCGTAAAGGAGTTACGGAAGATGAGAGATGCTGCGCCGCCGCACAGCGGTGATGATGAGAGTCTCTGTGATGCCATCGGAAGCATCAAAAACCACCTCGGGGTTTTCGAGTGTGTATTAGTGTATGCATACATACGACGGTCACCATAAAAGTCATGAATGATATAACGCAGATTACATTACAGCATTGTGTTTATGGCATGTTCATGATTACTTGGATGAGGCTGGCAAGTAAGGTGTACCTGAGTTAAGGTGTATATCTGCAATTTCGTCCGGTCCCAAGCGCTCAGTCTTTGTTCCTTGGATCTTGTACACTGTTTCAGTAACACGTCTATTCCGGAGACTCTGCTAGCAGCCTCTAATCGCTGTCAAATTACAGATGTGTACGACATCACTCCACGTGCCAAGTGCTTCCAACGAAGCCTTGCTGTGAGCCCATCCACCTCCCGAGTGAACGTTATCTCTCTCCACCCCATACCATGCAATGAAGCTTCCAATGAAGCCGTTTATAATGTACCATGCTCCCACAAATCTTACCCTCTCCGCCCAAAATGATATTTCCTGATAGATATTGGTACAATGTCTCAAACCTCTTTCCCCCAAACTCGTCGGCGCACGTCTCACAGCGAGATCTAAAATCTCTCTAGTTCTTGCCCGCGCTATCAACGTCAAACAGAGGCGGCATAAACCCAAGCCCACCCTCCTTGCGCTCCTGCACGTCCCGGTGCACACCAACAGTCCCGTCCGCACGCCGGCTCCGCACGTGGGCCCTCAGCATCTCCAAAATCTCGCTACCCTGCCATCGCACGGGCACGGGGCGGTACTGCGCCTTGAAAGAGCCGACGGTGTTGGCCCACTCGCCCGGGACGTCCTGCGTGCGGACATCCTCTTTCGGCTTAGAGGTCTTGCCGGAGTCGATCGTCGAGGCGGCGCCGGAGCCGACGGGGCGGTAGGATTCTGCCGCGTTGACGGTGGAGGAGGCGAGCGTGTCGTTGGGGGAAGAGGAGGACGACGTCTTTGTGGTCGAGGCCGAGGCGGAGGGGGCTTCTTCCTGGGTGGCCCAGTAGTAAATGTCCCAGTCGTTCTCGTCGAGGAAGAGGTCGTACTGCGCCATTTGGGACTTTGTCATGTGCGGGAGGTGTTCGTTGGCGAAGGTTGACATGAGGAGGTCTGATTCGAGGGTTCCGCGCTTGCGGGACTGGTCTGTTTTATTCGTAGGGCAATGATTAGTTCTCGGGATCTTACTTTCTGCATAAATTTGTATTCTCTCCCCATCGTTCCCTCAACAAGAGTCGAGTAAGAGAAAACGCCGAGGGAAGGCACTCACAAAGAAGACGGGCGCGCATGGTCCGCTCGTCCTCGCCCTGACGCCGCAGCGGCTCGACGCGGAACTTGATGCCCTCGAACTCGCCGACGCCCAGCTCGCTGTTGACGGCGGACTCGGTGTAGACCGGCGGCTTGTCGGCGAAGCATCTGCGGAGGATCAGGGGCGCCGCCGCCGCCGTCGTCGTGGGTGCCGGCGCCGTTACGCGGAGGCGGCGAGCTGCCGGGCGGAGAGCGCGGGCTACTGTCGACATTTTTTTTTTGCGATTTGATTCGGGGTGTTGGTTGGAAGAAAATAGTCGGTTCCGACGTTGCGCTTGTGCAAAGTCGAGGTTGTCGGTGGTGAGAAGGGTGTCTTGGGGATTTGTCTTACAAAGTGGACGCTGTGATAGGTGCGAAGTTGGTTTTGACGTTACCGAGGTAGAGGGGGAGGACGAACAAAGCAACTACTTCCCGTCCGTAATTCGCCTCGAAAACTGTATAAGACCCTTGATTCTGATGCTGCAATAGGAGCTCGGACCGTAGGAAAATATTCACCGTATATCACGGATATCAACACTGTATGACGGTTCGATCTTGACGTGCACGCGGAAGTGGCTTGGATCGTGCACAGTACACTGTATTGGCACTGCAGATAATAAAGGCATTGATAACAGGGTCCTTGCGTAGTTCCTCACTATCCAGATCGGAATGAGTCAAGTTTCCTCATTGGCACCGGGATAGAATGCGGAGGTGCGGGGACTATTTCAAGGTCTTGAGATAGCATTCCGATAGTGATACCGAAAAAGCTTGGTTGTGTTGCATAGCTGACATTTTGAAAGGATACTCGAATAGAAGAGAAACGCGCCTCACATTGCGACTCTATCAAAAGTTCCTCAAATATCAATGTTGATCCCATCCGGCCCAACACTGACGAGCCAAAACATTCAAGAACGACATCATCACAGGACCATACTACAGAAACGCGGGTAGCGAAAGAACATGTGGGTATTTGGCTAAATGAAAACTCCGTTCGAGATGCAGTCTGTACCTCTCAAATTCCATCCCCAAAAAGCCCGCCTCCAGCGCCGATTCCATGCCAAGACAAGCATCGAAAGAGAAGGAACGAAAACGTTGTGTCTGCCAGTCACCCCCAGAGATGGCCCCCATCTCGATAAACAACCCCCTTCGAGGGCAGCCAATTCAAAAAAGAGAGGAATAAACCTCGCCGCCCACCCAACCACCACAATTTCATATCAGTCATTATACCCCCCCTTCTCAAAGGTCGGTCGTCATTAAAGAAAAAGGAGAGAAACGGCGGCGTTGTGTGTGGAATAGCAATCGTTCCTTTATTCCCCGCCCTCTGGTAATATCCTCCCCAGGCTGCGGAGCACCTCCATGACGGGCATCTCCTTGGTGCCCGCGTTGGCCTTTTCCCTCACCTCCCGCTCCTTGAGCCGCGCGGCGCTGAGAGAGAGGACCTTATCCGCCTCTCGGCCCGCCGTGTCGACGCGTTGGGAGAGCTTGTGTATGCCGTCCGCGAGCTGGTCCACCTTAAACTCCAGTGTCGACTGCGTATTTTGTAGGCGGGCGAGCGTCTTGGCGCGGACATTTTCAAAGGAGGATGCCGGGTCGGTGAGCCAGCTCAACATTTCTGCCTCATTCGGCTCGAGGATGGATGTGTCGGCCGCTGTTGCTGTTTGTGCTGTGTCTGTTTCTGAGAAGAGTGGCGGGATATCCGGGCGCGGTTTGTTGAGCGCCAGCCATTTCTTCTTTTCTAGTTTTAATCTATGATTGGTTAGTCCCTGCATCCTCATGAATCGGGTATTCGGAAAATGTACCTTTTGACTTTTTGTTCCAGTTGCTCGATTTTCTCTTGATGTTCAAGATTACGCGGGTTTGGGAGGTAGACTACAGGCTTCTTTGGCCCCTGTTCTTCTCGGCTGAACCAGTCTGAAAATTCTGACTTTGTAGAAAAGTCCTTCAAGAGCTGTTCCTGAATATAGCGAGCTGGAAAAGTTAGCTTGGGCACGGGTTTTCCAGGTTTCAAATTTTACTCACCACCCAAAACAGTATTGGAATCTGTCTGGCCATGGGGCGGTTTTTGCAGTAATGCTCGTTCGCCACACCACGTCAAAAGCTGCTTCATCCGTCTTGGTTCCATGAGACCCTCCGACTCAATGTGCTTGTAAAATTCTGCAGTTTCAACCTCTCGGTGGGGTATCGCGTTATGCCCACTCTCAATCAGCGAACTTGCTCTCCGGCCGCGCATACCCGTGCTGCTCCGACGATTCCCTCCGCCCTTTTTCCTCATTTCCTTGTTGCGATTGATAACTGGCGTGTCACTGACGGGAAGCGTGATTTTTGCAGACTCGACTGGTTCCTCAATGGCGCGTGGCGTCCGCCGCCTATCCGGCTCCGGCTCCCTCGGTGTCGCGCTGTCAACTTCATCGTGCTCTTCCTCCTCCTCCGGGACTGGTTCCGGTGCTGGTTTCCTGACAGGCTTTGCCTTTTCTGTTTTCCCAGTCGAGCTGCGCGTGCTTCGGCTCGTCGTGCGCTTAGGCGGAAGCAGTTGTAGCTCGTCGTCCTCCGCCGGCTGCGTGCTCGCTGTCCGTCGCGTTCGCGGCTTTGATGATGTTGCTGCCTTTGGCGCAGCTACTGGTGATGAGGGCTCGGGCGCCTTCGCTGTCGCCGAAGCGCGTCCTTTTGCTGGCCTTCCTCTTCCAGACTTTTTCGGGGGTAGTGGCGCGGGTTCAGTTTCAATTTCCGGTTCGGGCTCTGGCTCGGGTTCTGCGTTCTTAACTCGCTTCGATTTGGATCCGCGCGTGAAGTGGAAGTCGCCATCCTGCTCGTCGTAAACCGATGAAGCTGCGCGTCGTTTTAGCATCATCCTTGCCGCCTCCCCGCGCTCCTCCAACTCACCCGCAAGACGCTTGCTTTTCCTTCTCTCTGGCTGCTCGTTGCTCATGCTAATGACTTGCAACGGGTGACGGGTGCGAATGACGGTCGTCATGGATGGCGCGTTAAATGAAGCATGCGGTCGAGAGACAAAAGGTGGCGCTCGGTGTAGGAATCGGAAAGTCGCGCCTCGAGGCAATCGAAAAGCGCGTCAATTGGCGCGTCAAAAATCCCAAGCGAACAAAACTTTGGTGCGGTCTTGCGTATTTCCAATTTTGTGAGAAGTATGGTCTCCGGGGTGCTGTCGTGATTTTCGCGTTTCGGCGGGTGTGGTAGTCGGCGGCGCGAGACGAAGTTGGGGTGGTCCTTCTCTGCGATGTTGTTTACAAGAGTGAGGGATGGTTTACCCGGAAGGTTGCGCTAGTCCGTTTTGGGAAACCCCTCTCGACCACTCACAACCCTGGAACACGACTGCCTCACTTACATCACTTCCATACGTTACCTTAGGTAGGTAATGGTTCCACTCACCACTGTCGACGGATTGTCCCGATACCTAGCTATCTATACCTTATTCAGTCATAACCTGGTTTGCGGCTCATCATGTCTAGGTATCCTGGGCATGGTGGTGGCCGTTTGCATGTACAGAACCATAAGTTAAAAATTCATACACATTCGTCTATGCACACATCATCTCAAGATTCATTATGGGGCGAAATCTCATAAATTAAATGACCACGAGGCGTTGCCGTTCATGCAGCTCTTGTTACCATTGCTACTATAAATCCAATCAAAGCAATCAGCTAGTAGAAGATGGCTTATTCCCATCAACCACCCCTCGACGCCTACACCCTTTCAAATGACTTGCCAACCCTTGAACTCCTTTTGATGTATATGCCCAGTATCTAGCCCTTCCAATGATGGACTGATACGATTGCAGCAAGCCAATGACGCCTGCCAAACTCCCCACCTCCACCTGCTCAAGGTAAACTGCCTCTGTTACTAGGCAGCTTCTCCCTGGTTGCTTGCAACCCCGTCGTAGAAACGAAGTGAAGATATTGGCGCCAAAATGTCGTATATAATGATGATACAGTTGAGCCGTAAGATATGACTAGGCCAGAGAATGGAACAGCATGAAAGTCGTAGTCTCGATGTCGCCATTTACTATCCGAGACGGACAACCTCAACGGGTTGTTATTGATGGATCGAATCCTCCAACTCCTCATATTCGAAATGATTGTTGTACAAGGCTTCGTCATCCTATGAAAAGCGGCGTTGCACACCCTGGCCCGCCGCCAAGACTTGCTGGTTGGGAATAGGAGCGGCCATGCCATACGGATTCATCTGGGGATTGAATGGCTCCATGGCCTGTTGCATGAAGGCGCCGTGAAGGCCTTGCTGTTGCGTGACAGGGCAGTCTTTGTGAGCCAGGAGTAATGTCTTCAAGTTGACAACCTCCTCACGCAACTGCGTGATCTGAGCTGTGAGAGCATCGTTCTCACTGCTGAACAGTTCAACTTTTGACTGGAGGTTCGCCAGCCACTGCTTCTTGCGCTGGCGACACTTGAGGGCGGCAACTCTGCATGAGGAGATTAGCAGGGTACCAACGGGAGCGACTTTTGGAATGTTGGAACTTACCTGTTACGTTCCAAAAAGTTCTTACGCTTCTCCTCGTCAGTCATCTTTGACTTTCCACCTTCACCATTCTCGTGTTTCATATCGTCGTCATCCGATTGACTATCATCCCCCATCATATCAGGAGGGGGGATGTTGTTATTCGGCTTTGATTTCTTAGCGGCAGGGGCCTTTGCCGGTGGCTCTTCAGCCTTTCTTCGGCCATTTGTCGATGCGCCGCCAGTCGAGTTGCGCTTGCCCTTGCCCCTAGCTGCGGGACGGGCTTGCTCGCTTTCATCCGACATGGCACTTCCGCCTTCGCTCACACCGCGGACTGACGACCCCGCGCCAACAGATCCAGCACCGTTAGCACTCATTTGAGGTGACGTGTTGACGCCTTGAGCAGGTGGCGGAGGTGGGTGAGCTTGAGATTGTGCTTGTGCTGCCGCGAATCCGCCGTTTGGAGCACCGTTTCTTCCCTGTGCGCCTTGAGCAAGCATAAACAGACCGTTCGCTGCGTCGTTATCGTGCGGGTCGAACTGCTTTGCCTCAGTCTTGACAGCGGTTGCACCGTTTGGCATCTCCTGCGGCTGCGATGTCACAGCTGCCTGTTGCTGGTTATGGTTCTGTGTCTGATTTTGGGGTTGACTTTGATTTTGATTCTGGTTTTGATTCTGGTTTTGATTCTGGGCCTGCGTATCACGCTTTGCAGCGGCACTTAACGCAGTGCGGTGGAAATCGATGGTGCTAGGCGTGGCACCACCACTGGCCAGCTGAGCAAATAGTTGCTGAGAGTTAGGGCTGGGGGCAGGGAACATGGAACCACTGCCACCGGGAGTCAAGCCAGTTCTCAACGAAGATTCGTTCGGGGTCGGGAATCCGCCACGAAGGTGATGCGTATCGCTGAAGTAGTCACTGGTAGGACCTGACAACATGGCCGGGCTCAAAGGACCGGTTCGCAGAGAACCTCCTCCCCAGTTGAATGGAGTTGCGCCGCTACCAGGGAGCAACGAAGATGGCGAGGTCAGAGCAGCAACGGATGGCAATTTCGTACCACCTGGTGTCTCTGGCGCGCCTCCGCCGAAAGACTGCTCAAAAGGATTGGGCTCCAGACTGAGAGAGGCGGCTCCGGCGCCGAAGTAGTCGGGAGTATTTCCAGTCGTCTGTCCAGGTCGAGGGGGAGGGCCAAGAGGTTTCGCGCCGTCAGCATCGGGCTTCAAACTCGGGTCGGGTTGCTTCACTTCCGGAATGGTGTCTATGTTGTGGTAAGCGAGTGAACGACGACGAAGACGACGACGACAACGACGATAATAGCAGCAACGACGATGTCTTCCGGTGAAGAATCAGCGAGTAAGGGGATGGAGAGGGTGTCCGACTTACTTTGACGTGGGGGAGTGGCATTGTTGGACTGTTTGGGTGACTTCGTATCACCCCCGGTCGAGGCGTGGTTCGGTGAGGTCCCCATGATGACGACGATGATGTATTATATTTGGGGAAAGAAGCTGTTGACGTTTGTGGGGTGGACGCCAAAGGCAAAAGGTGACGGTAGCAGGGTAGGGATGATGATGTAGGTATGGTAGTGTTGAAAAAGCCAGATGAGGTCAGAGGAGGAGTTGGACACGCAGAAGAATAAGCTTAGAAAGATAGATCTGGGTTGGAAGCGATGAGAGATCGGGGGGAAACCAATCCGCTGCGCAGTACAGGAGGGACAGGCAAAGCAGTGATGGCGACGGCAGCAAAAGGTTAGCCGTCAGAGGCAGCAGCTACGCTATTGCAGCGCTCCTCTGTAATGGAAGCGGCACAAGAATGGAATGGCTTTCGACGATCGACGACGGTGGTGAGAAAAAAAGTTGTCTCTCTCCTTCTCTACGGCCGCCAGCAGGAAAGATGAGAGGTATTGCGTAGTTGTGGCCTCTGTCTGGATGCGTACCCGGGGACGTGCTAAGATGGGGGTGTAGAACGAGTATCGTTGTGAGAGTGAGATGTCGGGGGAGAAAAACGGCAGACGTCACAGGTCAAGTATGACGTTGCGCGGTGGTCGATTTTAAAAAAAAAGAGCGAGGGCGCACGAAAGAAAAGAAAATGGGTGGGCGGCGGCGCACACTCTGACACCAAAACGCCCACGTCCATGTCCATGTCCCCATCCACGTCCAGTGCCCACCCCTTCCAACAACGACCCCCCGGTCCCCCGTTCAGTCTCTCAGGCTTCCTGTCTCTTTTCCTCTTGCGCGCTTCCTTCCTCTCCTTTCGCTATCCGTTGCTCCTGACCTTTTTTTCCTCTCTCTCTTCCCCCTTCCCCGTTCTGCGAGAAACGCTGGGGCTTTTGTGGGGAATGATTTGTCGCACTGTGCGCCGAATGCCCCGACGTCCAAGAACGGCTTACCAATGGGGAATGGTCCCACCACACCTGTCTGGCATTCCACCTCAGTTCAGCAACCTAGGTAACTAAGGTAAGTACCTTTTCCAGGTACCTCTGCTGGAGGACAGGTACGTAGCGCGCATTCAACAATGGCGCGAGAGAAGGAAGGTAGGAACGGTAGGAACGAATGCTGCCTCGATTGCAACCGACATGAGGACCTGGTCAACACTTCGTCCTCGATCGAGTCCCCCTTCTCGCATTTCGCAAGCTATCTCGAGCGTCTGAATGGCTTAGTTGCCCAACTATCTGCACATGCTGGGGGTTCGACCACAGATCCTAGGGTACCTTACGCAGTAGGTAGTCTCGGTAGGGCACTGTGACGGGATTGTAGGGCGACTCAACATGTGTACCTTTGTTCCGTACATCAGACTCCATCCCATCTTATCGCCTCAGGCGAATGACGGCAGACGAGTCTGCCGAAGCCGCGCACCATCTCGTTCGCATTCTCCATCTATGGACACATCTTTGCCTTTGAGTGGCCACTCTGTCTCTTTCGTCTTCGCCTTATCTTGATTTATCAGCTAAAGGAAGATGTAGAGACGGCTGCTGTAATGCCTCGGACCACAGCCAACACCACCATCATGTCTTGGCTCGCTGTTGAGGTCTTCAGACTGCCGTGAGGTAGAGCCTACCTAAGTAGATAGAGTATGCTGAGTTTTCCCTCCCACGCTCGGCACGTAAATGTTTCTCTTCCACGCTGCTATCACCGTCCCGTCCGCCGTCAGCCTGATAGGTTATCCGCACTATACGGTATATGTGGAAAATCAGGCGGTCGTCGCCAACACGGGCGGCGTATTTGCACACACTGTACGTGAGCTGACCAATCAGGCTCCAGCTACCATACAGTGAGAGTTGCCGGTTGGTTGAAAATGCAAGTCCGGGGGGTGGCCCAAGTATTCCCCCCTCACTATCGTAACGCACCTGGCACCACCCAGCCAGTATCTGCAGCCAACGTTTTCTACTGTGGCTGCACGTCTCCATTTGGTGGTCCCCTCCCCCAAGTCTTCCGACCCCTGCATTGATTGCATCACTTTTCCTTCCTGTCGCATTCGAGGGCCATGGCATCCTGTCCCTCTTCTTTTTGTTCTTTTTCTTCCCTTTGGTTGGGCCTTGCCTCGACTTTCAAGCGCCGCTCCAGGTGGAGCTTGCGCAACTGACGTACTGACTTCACGAGTCGGCAGAACATCCACCTCCCATTCCTTCATAATCGCCCACCGAGCCACCCTCTTCTCTACGGATACTGCTATTTATCCTCGTCCACAAGAAAACAGGTCAACGATGGCCTCGACCCGGCCTTTCGCATCGCCCTGCCCTGCATCTCACCTTTCGCGAGAGTCTAGAACAGTCAACGCCATCGGACCACCTGCCACCTGTTCCCTGCTAGATGTCTAAAGCGTGCGGCTGCTGGCCTCCCGGAGGAATCTGGCCACAGGTAAATCGTTACGGTGAAGAGATCGACATGCTCATTTCCTTTTCGAGCAAGAGTTTTCATCCCCATCACGATCCCGCCGGTCTACGCTACCTGAACCGTATAGCCACTGTACAGTCACAGGCACCTACCTAGTACCTACACTTGTCTACGTACCGACCACGATTGTATCAAACCATCAACACAAGTCGTCGCACTTGCTTGCCCTTGCACAGCGGCTGTCAGCCATGAATTTCTAAGCTGCAGCTACCTGAAGTTCCTGGACCAAATCTGCCGGTGAGAATGAGCCAGGAGCCGCAGGACTAGCAACATCGACGGTCGGTTCTTGACGCGACTGGGAAACCCGAAGTGGCAAATTACTGTCTTCAATATCCAATAGGGTGTCCCAAGGAGCTGCAGCTTGGTCAGGGAGGCCCTTGTAGCCAGTCCCCGCTCTCTCACACTCAACTGCAGAGTAACCGTACAACAAATTGCGTCACAACAATCGCGCCAGACGGGGCACATCTATCTTGCTCCGTAGCGATACCCTTTAGGCTTCGGGTAGCCAGACACGGAAAAACCACTTGAACTGTTGGAATACTCTGCATCCTCCCAGTTTCCATAACCCGTCGACGGCAAGGACTCATGCTTCTTGTTGCTAACAAACTAGCTGATACCTCTCCGTTTTGGCAAGCGAGTCTGTCTGTCTGCTTCCAAACATTACGTCACGGCCTTATTCATAGGGTTGACCTGTTTTTAGCTTGAGACGGAAGATTGGCAAAGTTCTTGAAAACGGCACCAAGTGCGCTCGATGGTCACAGCTTTGGCCAATATCGGCTCTGCAATTGGGTCCGCAATGTCTCGATACTTTTCAGTTCTTGTATTGCATTGGTGGCGTCACTGGTCATGACGTAACTATGTCTAGTAAGATGCTGACGAATAGAAAATCTGAGCCAACAAAGCCAAGCAAACGAGCCCAACGTTGCTTGCCCACTCATGGTCGCCCCGGCACGGTCGGCGATGCGATCCTCAAAGGTGTGGTACCTTGCCATGGTTGCTCGAGGTCCGAACAGTGATCAAGACCAAATTGAAACGGTCTCTTGACTTGTTCAGAGTCATCCGCACGACGAGTTTGTGTCAAGAACTGTCCTCATCGACGGTGAAGGTTGCGATTCTGATAAGGAAGGGTCCGTAATTTGCGACAATGACGGAATTTCCAAAAAAAAATTCTCTGATTTCCGGCGACCCACTGGATTGCTCCGCGAGGACCGCTTGCTCCCGTCTTCTTCACGCGTGGTTTGCTTGGATGGGGGATGTTGCTACGTTCTCGCGCTGGACGCCGAGGTGAATGAGAATGGAAGCATCCGACCAGCGAACGGGGAGTCTCAAGTCAGCAAACGGTACGTATTCCCGGAGCAGATTGACTTGTCCCGTCGGCTACCGTCGTATGACGCACTAGACCCGGAGAACATCCTTGCATCCTGCATGCCTTTGCTCCTCCTTTCGCACCATCTTTACATCGCACTGTGCTCAAACTTTGCACTTTCGCGAGCGCGTCGCGTCACACTGTACACGGGGCCTGTCCACTCGACCGACCCCTTTGAGCCTTGGACGCATTATGGTACCCAGCTTGGCCCTGGTATCTCGACGGAGCTCATGCTGGAATAACCAGATCTAAAGCTTTCCCCAGAATACATTGACGGAGCGATGACGGCAGAAATCCGTCTAGAGGATGGATGAGACGGCACGTTTGATGGACGCCCAGTCTTAACCCAGGCTCGGCATCAATCTCGATATCGATCTGACTGCTGCATGCTCGATTTCCCTCTAGCGAAGTGCGAACGACCACAACGTCGCATGGGGAATTCGGGTCCAGAACCACAAACCCACGTCGTGCCTCGGACGAGAAACATCACGCTTGGCCGTAGCAGGGTCAGCTTAGACCTATCGTGCTGTCTAGGCCCAATGTTCTCCGTCCGGCGGCGTCCGCTGCCCCATTCCACCGGGTCGGCGCCACAAGTGCCTTGTGTAATCCTCAACTCCCCTCCGGGTCCCTGGCGGAGGATCTCGTCCGATAATCTGGGGCTTCGAATTTTCGACGCGCCAGCGCGCTTGTCTATGATGGAACCTTCGACATAGACTCAGCTGACGGGTTGTGCGCCTCTTTGCCGGATCGACAAGGTAACTTTCCGAATACTGATTATCAACATTTGAATTATGTTTGTTCCACTAGGCGCCCATATCTTCTTCGCTTCACATCACGCAAATACAAGTCCAAATATCCCTTCTTCCGAATAGATCGAGCAAGACCATAGGATGGATGGGATGTCAAACAAAGAGCCATACCGGCACATATACGATCCACTATGATAGGCTGGTACGTCCAAAGAATCCCGGGTATTGCATCAAAATCTATATCGGCATGCGTAGCAGCCGGACGTGGAAGCCTACGTCCCGCGGCTTGTTGGTAGCAGTCTTCATCCTTCCGCCAAGCCTACTTTGGAACTCATCTTTAGCTTATCGAGATTGCCACTCGATCTTCAGCCGTTGCAAATTATCCCATTTCCATTTCTTGAGCAGTGACAACAAAACATTCGGCAACCTCAGTTGTGGAAGCCAGTGCATGCTGGGATGAAACTCAGCTTGCCCTTTCCGGCCCATGTATTCGCGTAACACGCGGTCTGACATCTCGAAGCCGAAAACAGCTTCTCGGTACGCCGGGACGATGGGAAAGTCGTGTGGACGGTCATCATTTGTGGCTTATTTCAGCATGTTTAAATTGCAGAACATCTCAGCTAGTCGCTAGCCGCGGCGCCCTGATATGTTTCGGAGCTGCATGTTGATCACATTCCTCCCCTCTTTAACAAAGTCTGATGAAGCTCCAGATTCTCGATGGGTAGTCTATCAGTGATGTAGCGCGGGCTTTTGTTTCACGTTTTCCCAAACTGCGCCGCATGGTGTCACGCCGAGCTCTGATAGAACGTTTTTCTGAGTCTTCCCCCCCCCCCCCCCCGAAGGCTCGCTCCGGTTTGTAAAGACACTCAGGAATGAGTAGGTCTTTGGCCGGAGCAACATACCCAGTCCCTCTTCCGGCAACGGCACCCGGCGAATGACGAAGGTTGCAAAAAACGACTTCGGGCCGTGGTCGCTCGCGGGGGAAAAAGAAAGAAAAGAAATCACAGCTTCGCGGCCGCCCCGGTGCGCGCGTTATACCTCTCCAGCTTCTCCACCCGGAACCCATGCCTCGGCGCGTGAACCCTCACGGAGGTACCCTTGGGCCCGGTGACCTCGAAGACGACCTCATCCCCGTCGAGGCTGACGAGCTTCCCCGTGTCCTTGTGCGAGGCGCCCGTGTCGGCGGGCCAGACGATCACCTCGTCGCCCGCCTTGAGATCCTGCGCGATCACCAGCAAGTCTTTGGCGTCGACTCCTCCCGTAGTCGATTCGTTATACGACGACGAGACGACGATCTCCGCCGCCTCGTCGCCCGACACCGTCGCTACCTTCCCAGCTGCCTTTCTGGCGTCCGAGGTCGTCTTCTGGAAGCGCTCGATCCAGGCAAATACTTTGGGAAACTGCTCTTTGGAAACGTGCTCCGCCGGCAGCGCGCCAGGGAGAGAAGCTAACCAATGCGGCAGCTACACGGCCTCGATATCCGCCAGCGAAGGGCTCTTCGTGCCGGAAACCCAGTCCCGCCCGTCGGCGAGCAGCGTCGTCTCGAGGAGCGCCACGGTGCGGCGGATCTCGTTGACGGCGTTGGGCCGTCCGCGCTCTATCGTCTCGGCGGAGAGCTTGCCGCCGACAAAGTCCTCGCGGTCCTTGAACCAGGTGCGTTTGGGGTCCTTGAGCATGGGTAGGTTCGTGGGCAGGACGTTGATTGCGTTGGAGAAGACGGAGTCGATGATGAGGGCTTCGAGGAGGCGTTCTACGGCTGCGTGTTCGGGGGTGGTGGCGCCGAGGCGGGGCCGTGAAGGGTAGAGTTGTTCCAGCTTGCGGAGCATGAGGCGCGTGTCGAGGTAGACGTCGCGGCCGATGGCGAGGATGGGGATGCGGCGGTAGTTGAGGCCTAGTTTTGATACGTCTGGGCGGGGGAGGACTGGTGGTTGCATCTGGAGCGGTTTGTTAGTTTTTTGTAGATGAATAGGACCACGGAAAACGAATCGTGGTGAAGATGGAGGTGTGAGAATTGTCGACTTACACACTGGACATAGGGGATGCCTCTGAGAGCTAGGTACCACACGATCCGCTTCGCGTAGGGCGAGGCGGAGTAGTGGTACAGCACAATCTTCTTGTCCTCGTCGGATGAAGCCATTATGTTCGGTTTGGGGTGTTACGCCTAAAGCGATCGAGAATGAGACGAAGTGAGATGAGGTGCGAATGCGATGAGAGATGAGCGAGCTTCTGTTGATTATCGGTGAAAAGCACTAAACTGAGATGAGATGAGATGAGATGAGATGAAATTGGGCAGTGGATGAAGTTTCGAGGACTCAAACGGTCGATGACGATGAAAGAGAATGGCGGGAAATCTGCGAAACGACCGGGAGATATGTTCGAGATGCCGAGGCACAAACGCGACGGGGGCACCTAGCGGTTCCCAAGCTAACGTGGAGTATGCGGGGTTAAAGGGGGATAAGAGAAGCCAATGGGAGTGCTTTGTGGGGTTGCTCACCGAGGTGAGTCAGCCAATTGGGTGTTATACTTTTAACCTCTCTTTTCTTCAGGACTTGATAATTCGCGGTGTTTTCTTATTGAGAATCTCGAGTAGAAATTTCAAGACAATGATATTGATTTCGGATCCATTTTGTAGAAGAATCTTTGTTATGAAGTTAAGGTGGCATTTCGAGGGCTGAGAGAAGGTGCCATGAGCGAGGTGCTTCAGCGAGGCATAATAGATTGCAACATACGTCTTCCTCCCTGGTTTCGTAATTGTTTTACTCTCATTTCATAATGCTTTGAGGTTCGCGCAACATAACGTATATATAGAGGCGCAAACTGTCATATGGCTTGCTAGGAGTTCAGCTGTCATATAGCAGGACAATCTACAGCATATATTACTGTTGGTTCCAGCCCGCAAGCAAATAGGCTAACCTCCAAGAACGACCTTAGGCACACTAGACAATTTACAACGTACTTCAGAAAGTATCAGGCCTACTGTCCTGCACAGCTAAGTCCAGAGCTGAAAATTAACAGTGAGATTCCATAATTCACCTTCTCCGCTGGGCCCGGATCCAATACTCAGACTGTGCGTGGATACCGCAGTTGAAAGTCTTCCAAGGATCCAACGGATCGCAGATGGTGAGCTCCAGTCGTCGAAGCAGCTGAGAGAACACCCTTGTCAGCATTTGTCTCGAAAATCAGGCCTTCCGGTCCCCTTCCAACGTGCTGGGATGGCGCAGGAGAGTAGAGCAGGAGAAAGAGAATTCGCCACAGCAACACGTACCTCGAAGAGCACTTTGTTCAACTCCATCAACGCGACCGGTCTCCCAAGACACTGATACCGCCCATAACTGAAAATCAACTCAATCGTAGCCTCCATCTCGCGCAGTTTTTTCTCTGCTGCGCCTGCCGTCCCGTCTTCTTCTTTTGCATCTTCACCCTGACCGGCAAGCCACCTCTCCGGCCTAAACTCGTCCGCGTCGTCGCCAAAGACGTCTGGCCGGCGGAACATGGCCCATGAAGACCACCCGACGCGCGTGCCGCCGGGGATGAAGACGCCATTCCACGTGTCGCCCTCTGGCGGCGCCTGCTTTGCCATCAGACCCGCCACGGGCGGGAAGATGCGCAGCCCTTCTTTGATGACGGCTTGGAGGTAGGGTAAGTTGCGGGCTTCGGCGTCGGATATGATGGGACGGCGAGCAGTGGTGTTGTATACAGAGAGGATCTCTGCCAGGAGTTTATTGTGGACGCGGGGGTTCGTGATGATATAGAGGAGCGTGGCGCGGATTGCTGTTGCTGTTGTGTCGGAGCCGGCGATACTTTTGTAAGAGATGCGTCAGTCTTTTTTTTTTTCTCGCCCATCCTTCTCCCCTAATCATATTCCCTGACTGAAAAGAGAAAAGGTGGGTAGACAACTTACATCTGGAGCAGGATCTCGGATTCAGCTTCCTCTTGCGTGAGGCCATGGGCGACGAAGGAACCCAGCATATCCCTCTCGACTTTCGCATCAGGACCAAATCGCTCGGCGGAGAACCTTTTGGCTATTCTATATGCGGGAATGTCAGCGGGAATTATGCAATGCTCAATATCAAATCAGGATAAGAAACATCAGATCTGTCTCACCCCATCACCTTACCAAAACCCAGCGGGTCCTTCGCCGTAGGCAACATCGACCTAAGAAAAGGATACCGGAACAATCTAATAACCCAGGGTACAACAGTCATGCCCATAAACACGGGCAAATTCTCCTCCGTCGTCTTGATGTACTCGTACATATCCGAATCAGACGCCACGAACCCAAACGGCTCCCCAAACGCGAGATCCGAAATGACGTCCAGCGTGAAGAACTGCGCCTTTCTCCCAAAATCGAATGGTTCCCTCCCGTCGACGTAGCGTTCAATGAGTCTGATCAGCCGGACGAGGTTGTCGTCAATCTTTTGCTCAAAGGCCGGGACCTCGCGGCCAGAGTACTAAGGAGAGCCATCTTCGTCAATTACTGATTCGATGGGGGGGGGGGGGGGGTTTCCCCTGACATAACTCACGCCCGCGGCCATCTTTGATCGAAGCTTGGTGTGTTCATCCTCGTCTCTGCAGGAGAGGACGTTGTCCCTCGACGGGTTGAAGCGCATGCCGTCGTACCAGTCTGAGCGCCGGTACCCGCTCCGCACGCCGAGCATGCGCCTCATGAGGCCAGGGTCGTCGTTGAGGAGGTCATTGGGGCCGATGCGCGCAAGGGATCCTTTACAAGTTGAGCTTCTATCAGCCTCAGGTTCATGTGCGCCTGCGGTCTGGAAAACCTTCAAGTAGACCTTTAAATGTCTCGAAAGCGAATTCCCCCCCACATTGTACGACTCGGCGAGCACTCGAGCACCATATTGGTAAAACAGAGATAAAGTCACTCACCATATTTCTTTGTCACGTTGTAGAACTCGAGATGACCCCGAGATCCCGTCACGGTCTTGAGGAGCCACGACTTGGATACAGCTGCCAGAGGAGGACCTTTAAAGTGCCGCAGTCGCCGGTACTGTCTCGCCGTCTCGTAGACTCGGAACAGCACAAAGATAACAAACAAGGTAGCCAGAAGAGTCCAGGTAGGATGCCGATCCCATTGATTGTAGAACGAACCAATGAACAGAGGGCTCCTGGCTATATCTGGACCCATTCTGAAGGGTGAATGGGATGATTATACGTCAAAGTATGTTTTGCTGATGATGACGTACATAAGAATTGTAGAATGTAAAGTATGAAGAAGAAGGGAAAAATCATGTTTCTCCAAAGGCTACAAGACAAGAATCACTTGTCAAAGGGGAAAGGAGAGCGGGGAGCGGAAATGATGGAGCAACGGATGGCAGCGTTCGTTGGTCCTGTTGGTTCTCACATTAAACCACTTGGCAAATCTCCCTCTCTCCACTGGAGCGGCGGGATATGATATCCCTCGCCCTATGACTGGACCAGTCTGTTGGAAAGTTTGCTTGCACCCATGCTCGAGAAAACTTGTAATTATTGGAAAATGGCTTGAGAAAAGCAATGTGTGCTGTCGTCTTGATACGGGGCGGAGAGCCGACCTCAAAAATGGCATCGAGGTTCAGACTGCATTTCCAGAGTATGTGCAGATGTTGCCATACGGTCATCTGCGAGAATCAATTGGCCTACAAATCGGATCTTGTATGCACCTCATCCTTAGGTCTGACAGGCTCAGCAGTTGGTGGTACCTCATCTTACCATATCTGGCATTTACGCCTGAATAGAAGGGTTCTCGGAAATCGATCTATGTATCGGTCTGAATTGACCATAGGGATTTAAGAGAATTTGATGATATACATGTATACATACGTTGGGGAGTGTATCTGCTACGGCAGTCGATCAGGACTGGCGGCCGCGATAAGTTCAACATTTTGAAGCTTTGTCTGAACGGGTTTGTCTCTAAAGACTGACCTATATTCGTCCACTGAAACTCGTCCTATCAGTCACCGGGAGCTCTCTGAATTGCGAACGCCAATCTTAATCCCTTACCACTTGGTCGAAGACGTTTGTCAAGAAGGGAGGCAGAAACCAGACCTGGCCACATACATCACGCATTCTTCCACTTGAGATCCACGAGTCAAATTCCAGTCCATTTTACAGTGGTGAACTTCCTACTCAACCCGACCTTGTGTAGATATCAGACATAGATCACGACTTCTTGTTGGATGTGCAGCCTTAGAAGACGTTCCTGCCCGGCCGCTAAAAGAATAGCTTGCAGATGGAGCGGCCCCACACGGCGCCCCGAGCTAAACGAGCGGCGTGTACTCCGTACTTCAAGACGCCAGTTTTCGGACTTTGCAGTGGTCAAGTCTCAGAACCATCTAACGACAATCCAAGCATTATACCACAGAGAGGGAGAGGGCGCAGATCCAAAGCAACGCGGTCTGTCTGCATGCTAGCCTCCCGTCCAAGAGTGGCCCGGCCGGGAGCATCCCAGTAACTCCGGGGTAGCAGCCGCGATGCCAGCCCATCTCACTTCCATCCCAACTCTGACCGCAGCCGGGTGTTGCGTCTCATTCTTCCCCCTTTCCCCGAAACCTTGCGCGGGCATACTGGCAATAAAACAGCGAATCGGAATATCGCACTGGGATTCCCCGTCACTTTTCAGGAAAAAATCGTCCAAAGTCTTTTCGGTAGATCGTGCTTCAACCGCGAGCATACATGGTGTGTTACTTTGACGGCGTTCAAGCCCCATGAACTGCGTCCGTCTACGGGTAGCACAGGTTGTTTTTGTTGGCGACAACATTTGAGCCCTTCTCACCATGCATACGCGGTCGGGTTCCGGTCTTGAGGGGCTGGGTAAAGATTGTTTCTGGGCAAGGAATACCACGAGCGGCAGAGTGGTGTTTTCAGTCCACAACAAATGCAAGTACGGTTCTCAACAAACCGACCTCTTACTACAACCTCAAACAGCTTGCTCGTCTAGACATGAAAACAGCGCAAGCTTAATACAATCCACTGGCTTGTAACCGAGATTCCATCGGCGGCGGTCGCAGCTCTGAAGAAACGTCAAACTGGGAGCAGTATGGCGATACTTTTGTCTTGTAACGCCGCAGAACGGCGAGACATGCCGAGGAGATATCTCGTTTGCGACATGGAATTCTGTAACGGCGGAATGCTGCCGTACATAATTCTTAAGACCTTACAGTGAGACCACCACTGGGCTATAGCTTCGCGTCAATCTGAGATGAATACGAACACACAAGAGATTACTAGCTCTGACAACAACAAGTGAGGCAGAACTCAGCTCACGGACTTTTTACATGCTAGAGGTGGTCTGGCCTTGGCGAAGGCTTTCTGACGCAAAATTGGCGGTAAGATGAAGAGCTGAGGGAAATATGGCCCAGGTGAGACATTGCTGCAAGGTGGGGTCGAATGAGGATTCGGGGCGCGGCGCCGTATGCTTTGTGGAAACGCGGGGAACGGGAGTCTAAAGTGCGGGCGTTAGCTACCCGTAGCGGACAGCTGAAGTATTGATATTTGGTGACGAGCAAACACAAACCAAAAGTAACGGAGGCGCCAATCATATGGTGATGTATCTGTGTACGCCGCTTTTGGAAGCAGGTCTCGTGTCCGAGGTCAAGGTAGCCTGGCAGCGTCGGATGGGCACTGAGCCGCGACCACAGCAGGCAACTGTGCGCCAGTCAGCTACTCGAGACCGAAGCGTAGCTGCACACCGCAACTCGGCATGACAACAAGGAATTCCTAGTGGTCAGGTAAGCTGCATTTGGGGACGGCAAGATGCAACAGGAGTGTGGTGAGCATTTCGTACTCTGGACGTCAATCCCCCATCCGAGCGTATAGTAGCGGAAGCTTGGGCCGAGGCCGACAGGCTAAAACAGACCATTCGCCTCGAAGCGCGTAGACACCCGGTAACACAAACACGCTGGACGAGTAGAGACGGTCGTGGTCAACACCCTTGCTGCGCCGGCTTGTGTTCCCCGAGGATGGGGGCGGCAGGACGATAGGCCAGCCATGACAACTGGCATGGGAAGTGAAATGAGGTATTGATGGATGGCGGCCTGTGTTCAAGGGTAAGCGGCGCCATGACGCTAATGGCCTTGAATTTTCCCGTCCAGATCAGGGGAACGACGATGGGTGTGCATGTTTTGGGGCACAATAGAAACGCCGTCGAGGCGTGAGAAATCCTGTTGACAGCTGGAGCCTGGAGGCAACGTGGCAGAAAGAGGTTGAACCAGAGCCTTTTGGGGCCGTGAGTCAGGACTTAGGACGCAAGCCGTATGTAGAGGCGAAGGAGGGTATTTACGTCGTTTGCGGAAACTTAGGAAGCTTGATACGAGCGGCCTGGTTGATTGCACGACGTGGGCTTGCTGACAATCCGCAGCATTGTTGATGAGGCTGCAGGGGACGTGTAAGTGGTAGGACGCCACACCCTACCCTATCCTGATTGCTAAGATGCCTTCTCTAGTCTCGGTGTCTGCGTGCCACGATGTATTCGTACTCCATACTTGGGAGTAGCTACGCTCCGTTGGCCTCCAAGCCCCTGTCTCGCAAGACCAAGAGTCCAAAACGAGTGTCGGATTGGGGGTCACCCAAGAGTGCCGTCGCAGGACGGGAAGGTGAAGTGTCAAGGTGTGTGGGTTGTAGCATGTCGTTTCCAGGCCTAGTCCACCGTCTACCTCGTGGCCGAGATGTGTTTAGGGGAACGAGGTGGTGTGAAGCTGCTGTGTGTTATGTGTTGTCTGCTATGTGGTGTATACAACAGTAGGGGGAACCTGGAAGTTCCCTGCCCGTGGCTCCGTCCCCAGAGTTTGGGGAATGCAGGAAGTTGGGGGTTCCCTTACTTTGGTGGTCTTCTCCGCAAAATGCAAGAGAGACCCCACATTCCCCTTACGTACCTGATTAGTGGAGTCTAGTTACCTGCCTTGGTCCACTTCAGGCAAGGAGGTTGTGGGAGGGAAGTTCCAGATTCGATTGAAGAGAAAAATTCAATGAAAATGAGAAAATGCTCTGTGCCTCTCTATCCAATCCCCATGGAACATTCTCACGTCTAAGAGAACGGACGAGAAAAGCCCGCGTAAGAAGGTATGGCGATCCGGCGCGTGAGCCGAATGTCAGATAGAGAGCAGCTACCTATGTTGTACGTAGGTACTCCCCCATGGGCTCAAAAAGACACATGGCCTTGCTATCCCCGTCTCCCCGTCGGCAAGCATTACCTTGCCTCTGGGAATAATGGCCGACTCTGTGACATTTGGAGGATTTTTGTCAATTGTCCCCATTCCCTCTGCAATCAAATAGAGGCTTTTGAAACTAGTCCAAGTTGTTCTATCACTTCCAAATTCGGTTTGGAGGTGAGTTCCTAAGGCTCGTCACCGAGATAAGGTCTATCCCTCGGTCCCATCTTTTGACGATCTCAAGTGAAAATGGGTTAGAAGGATGCCGCCTTACCAATTTGACTGGAATTCAGCAACGCAAGATGCAAGCTACAGCTCCGTAACCGTCTAGATCGTGCGAAAGGCAAGCGGAGCCTCGGAGGTACTAAGATACCTCACTCCACAAGTCCACATTAATACAGCACTCACTATTAGCACCTCGTCCTCATTGATTGCTAGGTTGAACTTGCCGTACGATTTCCGTCCAATACGTTGGGGAAACAAGAAGGTACAACTTCCGACTTCCGGTGGATGGGACGACCTTGAACAGAATTGGAGACTGGACGGAGCCCCATCCCTCCTTGCGCCTTATTCTCATCCATTCGATCCGTTTGGCCCGCAAGTTCCCCCAAAGCGCAAGGTCCTAGGCTGATGTGGGATTATTCTCGTACTGCGTACCCGCCTGCCGCATAAGCAAGAAAATTCGGGGCCAGAAAAAAGATGAATAGTTAGAGAGAAAGAAAAGTCGCCGACGGCATGCGACAGCTGGGATGACCCAGACGCGAATAGCGGTAAAACCCGTGGGAGCTCTTGAACAGTACAAAACAAGAAAGGAACAGCCCTGTTTTGTTCGATCCCAGCTTGCCCTGGCTTCCGGCGGCATTCTTTCTCTGTTTCCCCGAACTGATCACCTCTTTATCTGAGGAATTGCACCGACTCCATTATCATACAGGCGGTACCTATTCGCAGTTTTTGTATCCCCCGTTGCGGCATGCTCTATGCCTAGAAAACGAAGACGACAGGAAGCATGCGCAGGGAGGAAGACTGCGAAAGAAAGCCCTGCCTCGGCAGAATACATGCTCAAACCCCTTTGATTTCTATTGTCCACCTCGTGTCGCCAGGTACCTTATCTGTAGTTGCCCCCATTTTAGTGGTACTCACTTATTGCGTACTCTTACACCCAACACCCGAACGGTCAGGGTCAGCCCATCCGGCCCCATCGCCGAGCTCACGCAAAGGGGCAAGCAGCCCTGATCCTGGTAGAGGAACATCCACATGGAACATTCCTCCCCTTCCAGACTTCCAAGCTTCCAGCACTCCCCCGTGAAAGCCGGGGATTGTCTTTTGGAGGACCTCCATGGATGATGAGAGCCAGTCTGGGGCTAGCCAGCACAACAAACAGAGGGCAGCACGACAGAAGATTGGACCGTACGACATGTTGCTTTTTGACCGACGAGCCTGATGTCCAGAGGCAGCCAGAGGCAGAACACTGTCAGTATGCGTACCTTGCTGTTTCAATAGGGATGCAAAGTATCAACTACCTTACGTGCCTTTTCATAAAGCGCGGGTACGTCAAGAGTCTGCGCGAGCTCCCACAAATGAATGCCCATGGTAATCATAAATAAACTACAGCCAGTCCACTGAGACATGATACTGCCCATTCGTCATGACACAAGCACGACAAGCCCGCCCCAGCCCAAGCCCAGGTGCTTCATCGTCTTATACTTTGCCTCATTAGATTGCGACATTGCAAATCGCAAGCCTCGCATGCCAGCTCTCCGCGATCTTCGTTGTGTACCTATCCGTACCTCTCATGCCCCTCTGCCTTTATCATTCTGTCTCAATTCCACGTCCGTCTAACATCGGGTAAGGACTCTCTACTCTACCCTGACAGTCTGCCTTCTGTTTCCGCCAGTCTTTGGAGCCCGTGAGCTGTCAAAGAGCAAACTCTGGTCCATCCCGACTTCCTCGCCATTTTTCTGAACCCTCATCATCCTCTTTCCACCTCTCACTCCTCTCCCTCTCACTCTCACTCTCACCACACCCCCCTCCCTTCTTCGTCTTGCTCATCTCCCCTTCATCACTGGAACCCCTGACTTTCTTCCCCACGCTTCCGTTGAACTCTCCCGGCAACTGCAACCTTACCCGCGCCTCTTGTCGATTTGCTCTGCCCATAGCCCACCCTTTCGACCGTTCGGTTGGGTCCTTTTTGCTCCCAGGCATTCCACCCACCCTGGTCTTGTTTGCGCACCGACTTGACCAGCCCGGGGGTGGTCGGTCTACTTACGACACAAGGAAAGGAATTGTGAAATTTCTGTTACGGATCGCGCACAAACGCCCGGTCGCACCCTCTTTCGTTGTCTCTCTGCTCTCTGCCTTTTTTCTTCTCTCTCTGTGTGTGTGCGTGTCTGTCAGCCGATTCTCATTTGGGGCTCTCGGCTTTAAATATTCTGGCATCTGCACTTTCCTTACGCCTCTTGCCCTCCATCTCGTCCACCTACCTTACATACGCCTCCCCCCATCTCAAGGAATATCACTCCACTCTACTGTGTCTCGGCACCAGTTCCAGCCTCGACAACGCCTCTCAACAAGCAACCATATCCACAGCTGTCCTTATAATCCCCGTTTCTTCCCCAGATTCTTCCGTACAGATACAGATTCAACACCATCGGTACGTGGAGCCTGTCGACAACGCAGCAACATCCAGACTCTTTGTCTAACACCTGCGTGATAGGACTTCACCTATTCATCCCCTCCGGCACACACAATCAAAATGCCTGCCAGCCAGATCCAGATCGCCTCGCCTCTACCTATTTCTCCTCAACGGAGGAATCTGCGCCTGATGACGGGCCAGGATCTCTACACAAGTTTGAACGCGACTCTCGCCTCGACCACCCACCGCCCGGTGACGCCTGTACATATGATTCAAGAGAACGACTACAGTGTGCCGGCGCCTCCTCCACCAAGCCCGGTATCATTCGCTACAGACCACTGGCAGTCATCGATCCGCCGATGAGATGTTCTTGTTCAGAGCTACGAACGAATTCTTTTTGCCCACTGTTCGACACAGGGGCTACTCTTTGCTTGTACAATCAGCATACGGACAAATCATGGGAGTACGGGGCGAAATGCGCGGAGCAAACTATATTTTTCTCAAACGGCTCGCGAAATGAGGTTTACACAAAAAGCAGGACTGGCACATATCATGGGTTTCTTCTTATTCTTCTTCTTCTCGGTCTGCATACGGGGTTATTGGCAGCAAGTAGCCACCCAAAAAACGTTGATGGTTTGAGACGACGATGGGCGTACCACCTTACACATTATTCGGAATGCGCACTCGTTTTCGGTGTGCAACTAGGAAATTGGCCTTTCTAGCTATGAATTAACATTGATAACACATTTTCTTTTCGCAACCGCCTTTGCCTATAGCTGCTGCGTTTAAAACACCCGGGGATTGTGACTCGTTCTGCGAATGGTTCGCCGGTTGACAGGGGGGCAAATGGGCCGTCCCATGTTTGCATTGGAACAGCTCGAACAGCCTAATCCCCCCGGGTTGTTGACAGATGTGAGGCAAGCAGGGACAAGCAAGGAATCTCAAAACAGCAGTTACAATGCTTTTCCCAAATTTGGATTGCGAGTTTGGAGGTCGGGCAGAATATTCGTCCATACTGACTCCCTTCTGCACTTGTTCAACTTTTTTTTCGTCCCTTCCATTTTCTCCGGGGGAACCTCGACGGGAAGAGCTTCCGTTGCCCAGACGGTTGGGTCCCACGGAAAAATAGAAGGTGGAGGATGGTGCCGAGGTTTCGCCTGCTGAGAAAGCACGGGCCATCAACACCAGCGCCAGCGCGCCCCACCACTTAACGCGACTTCTCGCCTGCATCGTGTGCTCCTTTCGAAAAACGCGTCTGTCGCGGTCGGTGGTCCGCGACCCCCTTAGCCCGGCGCGTTGCTGCCATCCGTTGCTCCATCATTTCCGCTCCCCACTCTCCTTCCAATGTACAAAACCTCTTCATACTCTTCATGACTTCTTGATACTTTCAACTTGTACCTTCTACACGAACCGAGACTTTTTAATTGCGCTTGCCAATCCTCTTGACTTCTACTTCTCAACTTCACAGCTTCCGCTTGTAATCTGCATCGCTCTCGACCGCCTACGTTTTCCTCCCCTCATCACCTAGACGACCAGCACTTGCACATCTCGACGCAATGGCTCGCGCAGCTTCCCGTCGGCAGGTCAAGCCTGTTGCAACCACGCCAGCGACCAACCTCATCAGCAAGTACGGCCGAGTCTCCAAGACATACCCTGCTCCCGTAGACGACGCTTCAAAGAAGGTCTTCTTCATCGGACTGCCCTCCTCTCTTCCCGTCGCCAAGACGGAAGTTAAGCCAGAGATCAAGCTCGAGTCCAGCCCGGAAAGAGCTCTCCCCCCTCAGCCTACAGCAACACCCTCAAAGAAGCGCAAGGCAAGATCGAACGACGAGGACGTCTCACTGAGAGATGCGAGAAGCGACGTCCCAGGATGCGAGTCTCTGAAGCGTCAGCGGGTCTTCAAGAGTGGGAAGGACGAGCCTGTCCCCATTAAGCTTGAGGTTGTCCCCACGACCGCAACCACCACCACTGCTGCTTCTACACGAAAGAGCACCACATCGCCAGTCGCCGACAGCCGCCGAAAGACTCGCAAGTCGGACGTCATCTCCCAAGCAAAGACCGAAGTGCGCAAAGCCAATCAGAAGGTCAAGCGAACAAAGAAGCACAATGCTACAAAGTCAGAGATCAAGGAGGAGGTTGTCAAGAAGCAGCTGCCTGCCGAGCTTTTGGAGCTCTTGGACCTGCAACGCGCCATCCTCAAGACTGTTTCTCTTCAGCTCGTGCACCAAAACAACAACGCACCGCTTGATATCAGCTCGATCGCACCTCACGTAGCCCGCACATGGGGAAAGAGGAGAGTCACAGTGGACGACATTCGGAGATGCATTGCCATCCAAGACACAAAGACACCAGGCCAGGAGGATGGGTCCCTCTGCTCGCCCTTTATCGTCACCGACTACGGCCGTGGCAAGCTCTGCCTCGAGATGGATCTCACCAAGAACATTGGCCGCATCGACGAGAATGAGCTCTGCCAACAGTTCGAGAAGAACCTGCACATCATGTGCTCCCAGCGCGCCATGGATGAGATGTCGGATCTCGATATCTGCTTCGAGAACCTGAGCTTCAACGACCTGCCCAAGTCCGATATTACTGTTCGTCACACAACCATGTCGGAGAACCCCCTGTTCGCCAAGGGACAACGCGCCTTGACTGGAATCAAGAACGACATCCTCAAGAAGCAGGAGAGAGAGACGCAAACCCAAGCATCGAAATTCCCGGCACTCAACCCCAACGGCACCAAGATGACCCTCCTCGACAGACTCCGAGCCAAGGAGGAAGCCAACGCCAACATCCAGCTCCCTGCCGGCCCCGAGATGGCGAGAAAGCGCGCCCTGCAGCGGGTGGGAGACATCTCCGCCGTCCTCTCCATGCTCGTGTCGTCGTCGAATGCGGCCGGACAGATGGTTGTGTCCTTCACCATGCCTGTTCTGCAGCAGAAGCTCAAGGACTCTCTGCGTGTACCCATGTCCATGGAGGAAGGTGTCGATGCGGTACGTCTGATTGCCAAGGAAGTCGCACCGGAATGGTTGAAGGTTGCCACGGTCGGTGGTAAGGAGCATGTCGTCATCCAGACGAGACGCAAGCCGTACGAGGCGGAGCTCGTTGCGCGAGTGAACCGACTTCTCGCATAGTTGAATTCATCTGAGGGAGAGGTTATCGGTGGAAGTGTGTTCAGGGGATTGGGTTGATGCATAGCATAGCGTGTTTTCTGCATACGGAGTTTGGAAGATACCACAGACAGAGGGATGAGACTCACATGGAGTTGCGGGCGCTTGGGTTCACTTGAAGGGGGGCAAACATGTAGACTTGACACGATAAAGGTGTAAACAGTCACACATTTAGAGACTGCAGGAGATGCAGGTAATGGATTCAGTGTAATCGTCAGCTTTGGAGTCGCCAACTCATCTATTGTGCTGTAAAACGTCTAGGAACCGTAACCTTCATAAAGAGCTAGCCTCTCGAGACAGTTCTGAGTCTTCAGTCTTGTTTCATGCTATGCAACCCAAAGCCGAGGTCATTTTGTTGTTCGATACGACCATTTTTCGCCTTTCCAAGGATCCAGACTCCCAGCGCAAGCAAGATTAAAGCCACGAGCGCTCTCTCTCTCTCGTGCTGTGCCGTGCCCTCCCCGAGACTGTGACGGTTCCACCGATTGAGTTGAGTGGTATCAATCAAATAAAAAGAAGAAACTACTGAAAGAAGTTGCTCATTTCTTCTTGGCGAAGCGCGGCTCGCCAATGTTGGCGCCGCGCAGCTTGACGTTGAGGACGCGCTCCATGGCCGACAGGATCTTTTGGTCGGGGGCGGCGCTGCCGCGCTCAAAGTCGGCGACGATGGACTGGGTGGTGTTGCACTTTGTGGCGAGGTCCTTTTGGGTCATCTTGGGCTCCATCTTTTGGCGCGTCTGGGAGATTGCGTCGCCGACCTCCTTGCCGACCGTGTTGGGCTTGATGATGTCGTCGGAGCGGTCGACCTTTGTGAGGCGCTGGCCTTCGACGCCGGGCTTGGTGGCCTGTTGGAAATGAGAATTAGCAACTTTTGATGTGGGAATTTTGCAGACTTTAAGAGTTTCGCTGGGAGGGTTGGCTTCAGGGGTGGTTTGCACTCTTTCCTCTCCATCTCCCGTCATCAATTGAGAATTGTGGAGAATGGAGGGGTGAGGTTGGGCAAGGGCTCATGATGTCAAGTGTGAATTTCAGAGGATGCTGTCTATCGCGCAGGAGAGGGATTGCCCAGGAGGGAAAAAAAACATACAGCATTGCCAGCGGCATACTTCTTCTCCGTTCCAATGACGGAACCGCTGCGCTGAGCGGCGTTGAGGGCGCTCTTTCCCTTGATGACGGTCTCTCTCTGCACGCCTCCGCCGCGGGCCTTGGAGCCGATCTTGGTGGCGGTGTCCCAGTCATCCATTGTGGGTGGTTCGGTTGGGTGTGTGAAGATTTGTGTGTTCAAAATAGGGGTAGTTCGATTGGTGCGAAAGGAGATGTGTCCTTCTTTCGCTGTTCGTCGGGGGGTTGGTGATGTGGTCTCGTGAGGTTTGTGCTGTTGGTTTGTCGGTGGAGGGGGGAAGGAAGGTTAGATAAAAGAGGGTTTCGTTGCGTCAGTTTTTGGGAGGCGGCTGTTCAAAGAGACAGAGGGGGGGCCCTGAATGTCTTTGTGGCTGGTGCGTGGGCTGGTCGGCAAATGACAGGTATGGAAGTCGATGGACTGGCATAGATGGCAAAAAACTGGTGGGGGGAGGGGAGTCGACGGGGAGGGACTGCACGAACTGAGTCAACCGGCGGAGGTAAGAAGGGCGGATATCCCTGCATGTGCCTAACGCCGCCGCCGCAGCAGAGCAGAGCACCAGGGCAGATCCGACCGTCAGACTGGGCTGCAAATGGCGGGGTGACCGACCTGACCTGAAGAGCCTCCCCCTCCTATTGCTGAAAGCTGTTCCCCAGCTGACGGGAGCGCTCTGCGTACAGGTATGGGGAGCCTTACCGCATCTTCTCCCGGTGGCTGCCCCGGCCGGTCTCTATTTTTGCCTGACTGCGCCACACATCGGATTCGAGGCCCTCGAGGTCTCTTTTTCATCGTCTTCCATAATCAAGTCAGCCCGTTGGAATTCGGAAGAGCGGCCTCCAGGGAATACCTTAGGTACGAGGTATTATTCATTCCATTGTCACTCATCGCATTTAACGGAAGTAAGTCGTTGATTCCGCCCAGGTTCCCTTGTCGGCTGTGCAACCTGACCCTGGCCATATGGCAGCAGCTGCCTTTGTTGTGTTCTGAATATGGCAACCTGCTTGCCTTGATCATGATCAAACGAACTGTATTCCGGGCAATGGCTTCTACGGATCAATGGTGGCCATGCATACGACATGTCTGTATCTTGGAGAGCCGTCCTGGCCGACGTACCTGGCCGACGAAGTGTCGGCCATGACTGTTTCACCTGGTTGCAGCTGGTTCGATGTTGATGACTAAGCTCACTCATGGAACGAGATCCTCACGTTGAGGTGGGTTCACCAAGAGTCTTGATCTCATCGAACATGCTCATCGGCCCACAACCCGCCCCGTCCTCCACCGAAAGACCCGATCTGGCAATCGCCATAGCCAAGCTTTCGTGATCCTTGACTGGAAGAGAGACGATTTTTAGAAAAAAACAAACATCGCAAACAACACCATCTCTTCATAATGAAAATAATATACAGCACTTCATCTTCATAACACTGCCGGGCACTAACCCCCCCGAACACGGCCGCCGGCATCCTTGCAACGACGCCGATCTCTACACGTGGTGAACAACCGGCCTCGGCCCCGGGAACCCCCCAAACACCTCGACGGCCCGGCCCGGAAAAATCACGAAGCATACCTTACCATACACCATGACCGCCGCCGCCGCACCGGGCCTCCAGCCCTTGACCCTCCTGGCAGGCTTCACCTACTACTCCCTCCTCGGAACCTACCTCGACACAGCCCTCCTCCTCGTCTTCACATCCTATCGCAACAAGCGCCTCCTCGCAGACCTAATCTCACCCTACGTAGACCCGCACCTCCTACGCAACCAGCTCCTCCTCCTCCCGGGCTTCCTCCTAGGTTTCGTTCTCTTACAGATATGCCGCTTCCTCCTAGGCCTTGATGCTCCCACCGCGTCAGAAACGGAATCGAGAAAGTGGAAGACGACGCCGGTGAAACCGCTCTTGATCCCTTGTACCACGACACACAGGCGGACGTTTCCCGAGAAACACGCCTTTGTGTACTCGTACCTTGTCGTCGGCATCCCCGTCGGGTGGAAGGGCAGCTACGGCGGCATGGTCTCGTGCGACGTCGACGAGGCAGGCTGGTTATCGTGGTTCTCGCTGGCGCCGCGGACGGCGGGACGGGCGTGGTTTCACGTGGATCCGGCGGACTATCTCGAGCGCGGGAACGGGCACCTTGGGTTGAGAGGGAAGCTTGATGCGTATCTCACTTCTCAGGTAAGGCGTCCTTCCGCTCAGCCAGGTTTTATCCAGAATCTCACTTGAGCAAAACGTGCTACATGAGAATGAACACAAGACTCACATAAGTCACGACAGGGCGCGGATCCAGCGCAGTATCCCAACGCATACCTCGTCACCGCAGCCCGGTTCCTGGGATACCACTTCAACCCGGTGTCCTTTTGGTACCTCTACTCCAGGGACAAGGAGCTGACAGCCATGGTGCTCGAAGTGAACAACACCTTTGATGAGCGGAGGATGTACTTTCTCACCACGGATGCCTCCCCGTCAGAACAGCGTCTCGACGACGGTAGTAATGGACTACAAGACGGCATCGCAGCAGAGTCGGCCTCACAAGACGCAGATGCAGAATCCGCCGCCCAAAAGACGCAGCAGATCAGGATGACAAAAACCTGGCCAAAGGACTTCCACGTCTCCCCCTTCAACTCCCGCAAGGGATCCTACGCCCTCTCCGCGACAGACTTCTTCCCACCACCACCACCACCGTCCGGCGCCGGTATGGCAGGAGCCGACTACAAATACACCCTCGACAGTACAATAACCCTCTCCTCCTCAAAACACCACCCCAAAATCGTCGCCCGTCTCTTCAACTCCGCCCCGGCCATCGACCCAGCCACCATGAACCCCTTCCAGAAAATCGTCTTCCTCGCCCGCTGGTGGTGGGTAGGCTTCGTCACCTTCCCCCGCATCGTCAAAGAAGCCGCCGTCCTCTCCCTCCGCAAGGGGCTGCACGTCTGGTTCCGCCCGGAACCCCTGAAAGAGAGCATCGGACGGAAAGCCGACGCGACGGAGAGCCGGCTTGAGCCCGTTTTCCGGTCTTACCTCCGTCACCTGGTCGCGCAGTCCACGGCCGCCATCGCCCTCACGTACATTCCCGCGGGAATCACTACCACTTCTGGAGCAGGAGGAGGAGGAGGAGGCCTCACAGAGACGATGCTCTCGCCCGCCGCCCAAAAGAACCCGAAACGTGCAGAGCACCTCGACCTCAAAGTCCTCACCCCCGTCTTCTACGCCCGTTTCGTGCGCTACGCACACGACCTCGAGGCCATCTGCTGCGAGTTCCAGGACAACGGTACGCTCTGGATCTCGCAGCCAGAGGTCCTACCGAAGCTCATTCTCAAAAAACCCGCGCCGCCACTAAAGACGACAAACATTCTAGACTACGTCTATTTCAGAGCCATACGCGCCCTGCGGCAGAGGCCGGACCGCATCGAGCGGCCACTGACCTCGGCCACGAAGTCTCCGGAAGCCAAGGACGGCGGCGCCGGCGCCGGCGTACAAAAAGTCGATATTCGCGACTTCCGCATTTCCTCCATGGACGGCTTCGTCCTCGGACAGACGGACAGGCAGACGCGGAGTGTGTACAGATCGCTCGTGCTACGATCATTTCTCGCCGACCGACTTGCGCTGGGGAGCGTGGAGCTCCTAGATTTGCAGCACTTGATCCTGCGCGCGGGCGTCGCTTGGGTCTTGTCGTCTACCGTCGCTCCGCTCATGAGGTTATGAGAGATACTTTGATACGAGTACCGTAGTACTCAGTAAGCGCCATGCATGTGGCTCACGTTCTGTGTTGCTACCTACTAGAGACAACGCGCAATCAGCCGCGCCTATTAGAAAATCATCGAGAAGGAGAGAAGAGCTAAGATGTACCAAGCAGGAGAGACAACTCTCTAAACTTGCTCCAGGTAGATGACGATACCCCTCTGGCTGGACCAGTCCATCTCAGCCTTCAATGTATGTCGTCGATGATCAAACAAGGCAGCTAGGTAGCTAGCTGCTCATAACCTGCATCGCCCGGCTGGGTTTCCCCCCGTTCCGCATATGCGACGAGCTGTCTTCCGTGGCTCACTGTCATTGGGGGAGATCTCTTTTTTTCGTCTCAGATAAGCCAGAGGAGATAAGTTGATAGCTCACCTACATTTCATCATTTACTTGCCGCAGTCCGGCGTATCATGAGCAGCAAACGCACAAGGACATCACACATCCACACACCGAGCTGCGCTGTCATGGATGCTGGTAAGCAGATCCCCCAAGCTGTGGATCTTTCCAATGGTTACAGCTGGGTATTTGAAATACTCGTCTCTCTTTCCCGTGGTTCTCCCCAACCAAAAAAGCATATTTGGCAGGTAGTCTGATTAGTCCATGTTGGGGCGGGCGGGCAGTGGACGCCGAATTGCATCTCTTTGCATGCGGTACCTTACCTGGAAGAGGGGTTCCCTTACCTCATGTCTGTTAGTTTGCATGGTCCAAGCAAGGGAACGCTATACTCGAACTGAGCACGCGGCATACGTTCGTACCCTTACTCAGCATGTCATCTAATGTGTAGATTGTGCAGCGTTTGTGGAAGAGAAGAAAACAAGAATCTGTCAGAAGGCCATCTCATGTTTCAATCGTTGATAAAACGTTTTGTCAATGGCATCTGGAATACTTACCTAGCTGTGATTCAGAACGCTGTGTGTGAGGTGGCGCATATTTCCCCGCCCATGTTTGGATCACCGATTTCCGAGGGGCCGGGGAGAAGCTGGTGTGGAGGGGAAGGTCTCTGAGAGTGGACTCAGTGGAGGGCCGGGGTCACGTCACACCTCTCCAAACATAGGTTACCCAGAGGCGCCTCGCGCTAGATTTGGTAGTTGCCATTACTCGATTCGCAATGATTTGCAAAAAAATGCTTGTTGAACCGCTCGGGCACGGGGCCGATGGCAGGCATTCTAGGTATACAGTATGCACCTATGCCAACCCGGCAGTGGGGTCGATGTGCACACGCTTGACACTTCATACTGACAGAACTTTCGACTCCTTGAGTCTTCGAGGTGCCGCAGAGGAGTGGTATCCGGTGTGTCATGCTAAGGTGCCGGCGAGCTGCAGCAGCACTAACGCGGGTCCCGCATCGAAAATTCCAAATCGTCCGGTCCAGGGCGGGCGGCTGGGGTGGGCTGCGTTCGAGAAAACCGTACAGTGTTTCTCGAAGCTCTGGTCCCATCTTGTCAGCAAACCGCAGCTTCGATCAAACAAGGATATCTCAAAGACGTACCTTTTGCCATGGAGAAGGGGCTCTAATGACAAATTGCGATGATGAAAGGATCTTTTCTCCAAGGGACCCGAACGCCCGTCCGTGGCTGGCGCAAAACCGAGCATCGGTTTGATCCTCACCTGCTATGAGCCCCCCTTCCGTACCCCTCCGCGGGGTCGAGCTGTTCGAGTTCGAGACACCAACATCCAATGCTCGCCTGACTAGCATTGTCATGTCATGCCACAGATTGATCGAAAACCGCTCGCCGTGAACATATTCTGACCAGACCCGGTATTGTCTCGCCTTGTACTGTGCTGTGCTGTACTTGGTCGTGTATGTAGCGAATTCGAGAGCATGGATGTCATCCAGACTCTTGCTGATATACGGTGCAACAAGGATGAGCTGGCCACAGGTCGAACAGAAACGCCAAGGAACTCAGGATCGCCGTGGCCTGCAGCGCTGACAGAAACGTTTCTCGAATTGGTGGATCCCTTCTCCTCACTGCTTCCCAAAGCTGTCCAAGCACCCAACGTCTTGTTTCCAGGGTTGGGTTGTGCTCGATGTCCCGGCTCCGAAGGAGCCTAAGCCTACCGCCACGAAAGGGTGTGGTCTCTCGAAGCTTTTCGTAATGGAGGACTCGTCGGATGTATAAAAAGAAGTTATTTTCCCTCGCGAATAATGTGATCAAGTCTTCCTTCCAAAGATCAAAGCACAAACGCCAATCTTCGGAAAGTCTCCCCTCAACGTCACAAAACCGTAGCTTGAGTCGGGGTCGCAGCCAATTCACCATCGGAAACTCCCATCCCACGGTTCGGACACTTCTCCCCGCTCATCCGGTCTGGATCCAGGATCGGTACCTCAATAGGGTAAGTGACGTCGTCGGAAATATGTAAGCGCCTCAAGTGGTGTTCGGAGGTCGCCAGCTAAAACTTGATGCGCCACCAGATACCCCGCCCCCTCCATCGACAGAAACAAAAAGGGCTTGCTCCCGTCTGGTGTTTGTCCGCTTGGAAGTTTTGCTGCACTGCACTGTCTTTCAACGACTTCAAATCTGTTGTTGTTCTCGAAGGATTGCAACCCATTTTCAACGTACCTCTCCGACTTTGCTTTATATATTCAACATGCCTCTTACCGGACACTGCCTCTGCAAGGCCGTCACCTACAAGGTGGACGTCGACGCCCCTCTCATTACCGGCTACGATCACTGCGACGATTGCCAGCGCCAGAGTGGCTCGACATACTGTACGTGTTCTCTGCTGCTTTCCCACATGGCTTTGTCGTAGCATAGAATTGGATTGCTCGATCTTTCGACTTGTGACCTGGGCGTGTCTTGGTTGCTGACCCTGGATTAGCCCTTGTCGCTGTTGTTCCCAAGGATAAGCTTACCATCAACGGCCCTACAAAGAGCTGGGCGGGCAAGGGCTCATCAGGCAAGGATGTTCACCGTATCTTCTGCTCCGAGTGTGGCTCGCCAATTGCTCACGACCCCGATGCGGCCCCAGAGATCATCGCTCTCAAGGCTGGTACCCTCGATACCGAGATCAAGAAGAACCTAAAGCCGGTAAGTCGAGCCATGAACGCAACACCGATCGAAGACATTTTCTCCATTGCTGTGGCTTTGAATCGTGATGATGGCACAGGCGAATGTCGCGACTAATGCGTTATCTCTAGGACACCGAGATTTGGACTGTCGGCAAGCTGCCCTTCTGCCAGGAGAACTTGGCAAAGCCCTTCAAGCACATGCCCGAGTAAATTCGGACGTACGGTGTATCGAATAGAGTTGAGATGCATGTAAGATGGGATATACCCCTAGGTCTTTGGATGAAGGGTCTGGGACCCAACTTATATGCTGCGCGGTGGAGGGAACAAGACTAGCATGGACGAGTGGGATGTGGGGAGTTTGTGGGTGTGGTGGGTTGGCGTGAGAACCTGGAGGGTTATGATGGCATCGGGCTCGACTCGACCTCTTTTTGACCCACGTCCGTCGTTACCCAAGTACACGCAGCTACTAGGTTAGCTCGGACGAAAGATTTTGGAAGGACTCATTAGAAATTGAATGCAAGGCAATTGCTCTACAAAGACACAATCGATCGTGCCTCGCCGTCCGGGTGACATCCTCGTCCAAAGCGCCATCACTGTCACAACCCCATTGTCAAGGGTCAGAAGCCAGCTGCATTTGATAAACTCTGATAAACATCTTGCATTATGTCACTTATCACAGTCACGGCTCAGCCAAAGAGAAAGGGAAAAGTGCATCCATTCAATGCTCATTAATACTTGAATCGTGAACAGTGCCGGACGTTATCATTACTTCCACCACCAGTCATCTCTTCAACCCCGACTTTCTCTCACGCGACGACGGCCAAACTGCGTCTCCAAGAATCTCTTACAGTCCTGCGAGAACTGCGATACCAGCAGCACCCATCAAGAGGCCACCTGCAGCGCAAGTCGGCATCGCACCACTACCAGCGGTTGTGCTTGTGGCCGCGGCACCCGAAGCTGTACTGGTGGTGGCAGTTGAAGCACGGGTAGATGAAGTACCAGTTGCTCCCGAAGCGGAGCCAGTCGCAGCAGTAGAAGGGCTCGTCGTCGTGCGGCTTACAACAGCAGTGGCACTCGCGGCTGCACCAGTGATGGTGCCAGGTCCCTGGGGGCCGCTAGCCGTATAGTAGAGAGAAATGGCCGTGTTGCTGGGAGCTTGATCGCTTGTGGCAGTGGCTCCAGTAGTCACGGGAGTAGCAGCAGCCTCTATGCCGGAGTAGATGCTGGCGAAAACAGCAGTGGGAGTACCTGTGCAGAGAGCATTGGAGGCAGATGAGAGGACGCCGCTGTAGAAAGCCAGGTTTCGCTCGCTGCGGAGACCGTGAATAGTGAGGCATCGCTCGCAAGCCAACTTCTCGGCGAAGAAGCTACCCCCGCAGATGCATTGAGCGTGTGCCTCGTAGTCGATAGGGTTGGTGCCATTGGGTTGACAGGCGAGCTCAATGTTCTCAATTTGGACGCAAGGGGGAAGCTGGGCACCAGAACCTGTCTGAGGCTTGCAGACAACGTCTTGGTAGGGACGGGTGGTCTGGCGGATATCGAGAAGGGCCGGGATAGACCAGGCTTGGGCGGTAGAGGGAAGCATGGCTGCGAGGCCAGCGATGATGGTTGTCTGTCTCATTTTGGTGTAGTTTGTGTGTTTTGACAAGCCGGTCAAAGTTGGCGTGGTGGTAAGGAGTTGGATGATGAAGGAATTCTTCGAGAGGATAGATGTAACGGCAATGGATGTGGTAATTGCAAACAAAAGAGGCTGGTGTATTGGTGTAAGTGGTGAAGGCAGTTATGGAAGGCTTTGATGATGTGTACACTGTAGTTGGGTGTGAGAAGAAGAGATGGATCGGGGAGAGAATTGAGAGAAGGGGATTAAGAAGAAAAGGAAGAAGAACACAAAGGCATTGTCCAATGAGTAGGCTGCTGCCTGTGTCACAACCAACGGCAAGTGCCCTCTTGCGGTGACTACCACATTTGCCAAACCGGACGTTTGTACCTGACCTTGGCTACACTACCTAAGCACCAAGGGGGGAGGAACAGGCGTGAGAGCGCATGCGTCGAACCGGGGCAAACGGGGAGGGTATCGTGGACAGGATATACAAAGTTTGGATCTTTGGTGTTTGACCTTACCCTTTCTGTATTCCTTGTTTTCCTTGGGGCATGCAGATTGACGTTTTGCCATCATTACCGCAACTAACGCGCCATTAACGGCAAGGTCTACCGGAGGGGAATGTTGCCAGAACAGACGGTTTCTCACGCCGGCGGAAATTGAATATTGCGGCACAGCTAAACACCTCGTTCGCTCCTGTAGACACACACACACACACACACACATGTTGCAAATTGTCCAGTCACGGTCGAGGAAGATTTCGCGCCGAGTTGGACCAACTCGAGCAGCTGGCCGAAATTGGCCTAGTGATGCAAGGATGGCACTGTCCACACCTTCAACTGATGGGAAAGCTCGGGCGTAAGTGTGGAGTCAGAAGCTGTCCTTTTGGCAGGGGAGCAACACCTTATCGAGGGCGCCTGGGGTGCTCCTCATCAACATGGACCTTATTGCCAAGCGAAGCAGCATCCATAATCATCGTTGACTAGGTAGGTCCATTGCAAGGTACAAGGTATCCGTATCCGTACTTTGGTGTTGGACCTTCACCTTCCCGTCCTTTCTTTTGCGGGGACTCTTGTAGTAAGTGCTTAGGAACCACCATGCGAGGTACTACCTCAATGCTTTGGATGAGTTCCTGCCACTGGCCAGTCTAAGGACCTTCCTGCCCTTCTTGTTGTCGAGTCACTCGTGACATAGGTACCTGATCATACCTAAGGTAATTGCTACCTCCACAACTAGGTAGGCCGGGATTGACTAGACGACTTGATCTAGTATTATTCGGTCCAGTTCCTCCCGTCGCAAATGACATGGCACGTTGGCCTCAAAGGAAAGTGGCACTTCGACCTGTTCCATGACTAACATTCATGACCCAACGACAGCAGAAACAGCAGCAGAAGCAGCAGCAGCAGCAGAGGGATCTTGATCAAGAAGGAGTAAGGGATCAATCCCTGGCATTACATCGAATGATCGAGGCACTGCTGTCATCAGTCGCAAGGCGCCTTCAACCACGTGCCTGCCACGAAAAGCTCGGGGCAACCACCGTTCAACTCTGTTCCTGCAGGCAACGCCGCAGGGGTGAAATAAGCTTGCTTGTAGTAAGCATGGTCTTGCCTATATCTCAGTGCCAAGGCCCCCAGATGTGGTAGGAAAGACGCTGATCTATTCAACGACGCACCTCCCTCATCTTTGACAAATCCTTTAACGGCAGACAACTGAACTAGTCAGGCGGTTTTTGACTTCTTTTGAATTCGAATTGGCAACTTGTTTTGTAGTACGAGAACAAATACAACGGAGGACCTCTACGGTTCGTGGCGCGCCTCTCACCTTGCATGAATCGGCTTCTCCACGCCAACCGTCAGCCCTACGTTTTCTAGTGCCGCTTCGTGCATAGGTGTTCCGCCACAATCCAGCACTTTGAATGCGAAGTTGATTTCATTCCAGGACTCGATCGCTGAGCAGAGTGCAAAATGCGAGCCCGATAGCTAATTGCTGCATGAGCCTGCCAGTGGCCGCTGGGAACGGCCCCGTCAATACAGTATGGCCTGGTCCTGAGACCTGTGTCTTTGCGACTCGCATCCCAAGCCAGAGTGTCTTTGTTTACAGCACTATCTCACCTCAATATCTGTCTCGTGGTGTATGTGGTAAGACGCCGCCCTACCGTAGCTTCTCAGTCAGCTTCCTGGTTTGGTCTGGGCTTGGATTGTGGCAGAAACAATGCAGGCAACGCACTTGCACTGCCGCTGAAGCTGGAGGGACACTATCTTCAGCTAGGCTCAGCCATCCGTCTGGCTTGTGCGGCTGAAGGCCAAGTAGACGACTTCTGATATGGCACTCTTCGCCATCTGATATTCCAAGCTCACAAGCTACATGTTGTCCTGAAGCAGACACTCACCCCGGGTTCCTACTACAAGTATGCGCTTCGTCCAAGAGCTCGCTGTCGCTGTCGTGAGTCTCGCGCCGCTGGCTTGCGCTGTTGATCCGTCTCTACATTCAAGACAGGCTCAGCAAAGTCTCAGCAATGCGCTGACAAGCCACGCCGATCTCTCCACGTTCAACGAAATTCTGAACGGCTATCCGAGCATTATAAGCAACATAACCGCTGTGACGAAAAATAAAGTTACTCTCCTAGTGCCGACCAATGTTGCCCTCGCCAAGTTTCTTCAACAGTCCAACGTCAGCGAAATCACGCAGCTTCCCGTGAACCAACTCTTGACCATCTTGCGATACCATACTCTGGATGCTCCGTTGACGGCCTCGAATTTCAGCGCGCCCAGGGGTATCACAGTCCCCACCAAACTTCGAGATGAGCTCTTCAACCTTCGGACACCTGGACCTGCCATCATCGACCAGTACGGCGAAGACAGGGTCAGGTGCTTTTTATTTCACCGAGCACCATTAATCCCACCAAATTTAGAGTTAGGCAAGGGACCCCTTCCGATGATCACACCGCGAGCCTGCGCGGTGGCCTTGGTCAGACTGCCGAGCTCACATCGATCGATGGGGTGTGGGATGGCAGATATTTCCAATCTGTCGATGCGTGAGTCGATACCCTCCGCCTACATCAAGGGACTCATGCTGATAACCTCACAGTGTTCTAGAAGCCCCGGCAGTATGTTCCACCACCATCAAGAAGCTCTCAAGCTCACTATCGGCTCTCGGAGATGCATTGGACAAGATCAAGCTATGGAGACAACTCGACAATACCGCCAACATCACATGCCTGGGACCCAACACCGCTGCTTTCAAGGAGGCAGGCAGCCCCCAGAGTTCTCTCGGAAACGAAGACCTCAAGAACGCGTTGCTGTGAGTCACAAGCCACGAATGCAGACTCTAGCTCTCGTTCGACTGACCCAAATAACAGTTTTCACACTCTACCTCAGACAGCTTACAGCGACTTCCTCGTGGATGGCCAGGAATTCACCTCGATGGCCAACGTGACTGTTCGCGTCACGATCAAGGACAACGAGATCTGGTTCAACGATGCCAAGGTCATTAGCCCCAACGTCCTGTGAGTACTACAATGCATGGACACTACCTGGCCAGCAACGATACCCAGGCAATGAAACTGATGGCTTGTGACAGGACCAACAACGGACTCATCCACATCTTGGACCGCGTAATGTCCGCCAATGCCCTGCCGGACTCCTCGACTTCCTCACCGACGGGGACGGGCTCGGCTACCCCTACTTCAACCGCCACGCCCCCGAATGCCGGGAACCCCATGTCAGAAAGTATTCGTGCCGCCGCAGTCATAGCTCTTGCGGCCGGTTTGCTGCTGGTGTGAAGTCATATCTTCAGGGATACCAAGGGCCTGTTTCCTCCTCTGACTGGGAAGATTAAGAGGAGAAGAAGTATCGTAGTCTATGGGATTGAGAACGTATACATAGCAATTGTCTACCTAGTAACCCAGGTGACGCTTTCGTAGGCCGTTGCTCTGCCGTCGTCAGCGTCAATCATATCTCACCTAGTACTCTGATGCGGTCGTGATACGATCTTTCTGGAAGGTTGCCAAGATTGTTGTCTCACATATGAGAAAAAGAGGGCGAGAACCCTAGCAACGCGGGATGCCTCTGTCCTCTGGAATCCTCACCGACTAGCTCGTCCCAAGGATCTACCGTACATGTCAACCCTCCTCATCCGGCCGATCCGCTCCCCGCCGCTTTCTTGCTTACATTCGAGTTTCGTTTCATGCAGCTCAAACCAAACATTTTGTATCGTATTAAGGGAAGACAGTATGGGAGTTATACAAAAAAAAAAGGTTCCAACACGAGATGTGAAAGTCCCTTTCCAAGTCAAGGATAACTCGGCAACGCCCGCTTACTTCCGACTGGCATCGAGAAATTCAAAGATCCTGGCTCTTTGTCTACGTCACTGTGCCATTAAGAAAAACGGGTACCAGAGCCAGCCTTATCATCCGCTTGGGTCCTTATTTCTGGAGATTAGGATCATATTTTGTGGCGCCTCTATGGTGCGTTTGCGTGGGGGGTCCGTCCGTATTTGAAGCTAAGGGAGGGAACTAAGGTAAGACACACAATCCTTGGGTCGCTCATGCTGAGCTGTTCCCCTTCCAGTCCGCGCCAGCTTCCCAAAGGTAATCCCCCTTCCTCCCCCTCCCCTCGAGCAGAAAAAAAAAAAAAGAAAGAGAGAAGTTGGAGAGGCTCAAGTTCATACTACCACCTTCATCTCGAATCAACTCACAAGGCCCGCGGTCCTGAAAAGTCCGCATCGCAACCCCGGTCTACCCAAGAAACCTCACACGAAAAAGGATATCAACTCTCCCCCCGCTCCATAAGCAAAAAAGAAACAACGGGGCGGACCACCGATGGGGCTTCAACGGCCTCCGAAAGGAGGGACCCACGTATCGGTCATGCTCCTCCGCGCCGTCGGCGATCTCCCCGCAATCATCTGGGAGGTCCTGGCCGCCATCGCCTGGGAAGGGTGGGTCTCCGTCACGAACCAGCTCCGTCTCCTCGTGGCGACCTACCCGCTCATGGTCCTCTTCTTCTTGTTGTCCACCACAGGCGGCGGCGGACCTCTCGACGTCACCGTCGTCCTCGTCAGCACCTGCTGCGTCGCCTATATCTATGCCTCTTTTCTCTACTATTTCCGCTTACGGGATCGGCTACCCTGGGCTTGCCTCGTGGCGACGCTCCTCTGGTTTGACGGCGGCGACGGGTCCAACAGGCAGCTCATGCGCCGCGGGGCGGTTGCCGTCTTCATGTTGGCGCGGGACGACGACTGGAGCGCCGTGGTGGAGAAGAGGGTGAGGGGCCAGACGCTGCCGTGGCAGGACGGGAGCGGGTTCGCGTTTCTCTATAACTTTGAAGGGCGCGAGTTGCTGAGGGAGGTGGCGCTGTTTTGGGTCAATACGCTCTGCTCGTCGTTTGGGCGGCGGCGGGTGCACGACGACTTCACGCTGCGGACTTCCATCAGGGTTATGGACGTGCTGGTGTTGCCGCTGATCGGGGCGGTGGACTGGGCTTGGCGGTACAGGCAGGCTCGGAAGCAGATGAGACTTGTCGAGGAGGAGAGGAGGAGGAGGGGAGGTATGGGGTTGCAGGAAGGGAATTGAGTTGAGTGACAAGGAGGGACGGGTTCGTTGAGCTTATTTGAAGGATGTAGTATTCTTATTCGAGTAATCGTAATAGTCCGCGTTGAAACATGGACCGTAATATTCAAAAAGACGAAGCTGGGTATCGAGTTGAATCGAAGGGAAAGTCATATACGTGCAAATTCCTCGAGATCGACCTTTCAGGCACTGACAGGACCAGCCTCGTCCTGCCACCACTCCATAAAAGTAAGAAGCCTCTGGGTCCGCTCCCGCGCCATCTCCCTCCCAGCATCCGTCTTCATCATCCCCTCCAACCTGACGAGCTTCTCCTCAAAGTGCTCGATGGAGTTGTCCATGCTGCGCGCGCCCTTTGCGCCGCCAAACGTGAAGCAGCGCCCGATGCCCACGGCGCCAATGGCGTCGAGGCGGTCGGCGTCCTGCACGACGGCGAGCTCTGGGTACTCTGCAATCAGCGCCCGTACGCGCGCCGGATCCTTGATTTCGCTGGAGTAGCTGACGCCGAGGCAGATTGTCTGTACGCGGGCGGCGAGGTCGGGGCTGGCGCCGAGGGAGCTGAGGAGGGTGGAGACAAGGGTGGATGCGTCCTCGCCCGGCTGGAGGTACTTGCGGTCGCCGACGTCGTGGAGGAGGGCGGAGAGGGTGATTGTGTGTTTGTCTAGGGCCGGGGTTGTAGCTGGAGATTGCGCGTGGATGCGGTGGGCGAGGGAGACGACGCGCCGGATGTGGTTGAAGTCGTGGGAGGCGTCGTATTTTGCCATGTAGGCCTCGACGTATTTTGTCACCTCGGAGACGAGCTCCTCTTTGGTTGGTGATGCGGTTTGAGCCATGGTGAAAACCGGGGTACTCTGACTTGAGTATCCGATGAATCTTGAACGTCTGTGGATGGGAAAGATTATCTTTGAAGAACTGAAGGAGACTGGATCGTCGATGGCGTTTATCAATGACAACGGCAAGACTTCTCGCTGATGGATTGGTAATCCGACCTTTTCAACAGGGCTTTACCTTGAGGACGTCTAGCTAGATTTAGTGACCGAGTTTATGAAAGAGGGGCTGCTGCCTTGGATCGTTGACTCAGGCCGGCGACGTAGCAACTTTCGTACGCGACTCTGTTACGACGCGCCAAAGTAGACAGTCGCAAGATCGTTGACGAGGAACGCGCTATCATGTGACTGTTCACGTGATGAAGGTCAACTGTAGGTGGATACCACCGCTTCCAGTCTCCACATGGCTTGTTCCTCTCACGGGCGATCCCGCTGTTTCCCGCCAGGCCTTCCCGCTACCAACAAAGACCACGGGCAAACGGCACACCCTCGACTTGAGCACACCTTTGTAGATCTTGGGCAGTGGCCAAGCGCCTGAGAAACAACGTCCAAAGTTCAAATCTGTTGTAATGCTGCAACACACGTAACACTCTTGAGCGCCCAGCTTGTCAGCCGACATCGATCTCACCATTCTGAGGTCAGACCGCTTCACGCTCGCAGTCGCTTTGTGAGACATCTGTCGGCATCAAGGAAAAGGCCGATATGCCAGAGTCGCAGCCGGCTTACGAGGCGCCGTCTTGCGACCTGTCACAGCCCTTTCTTCGCTTTCTGATTAATCTGATGGAGTGACAATCTCGATGGACCTTTCGCATAGTTGCGCTCCAGAACCACGGCAGGCATCTCTACAGCCCAGATCCCAGATCCTAGATCCGATGAGGGAAATACCACGAGCGGGCTTGCCGTTCCGTTCAACGGGGACTATAGTCCATCAGTGTGATGGACCTCACATACCCGCCGAGACTAGAGACGCATGGAGCCGTATGACGCACCTTGGATACTATGCCGAAGAGGGATGGTGAGAACTGAGAAGGGGAAAAACTGATGCCGTATCTACAATTCACCTCCATCATCTTCTCGAGGTGTGGGTGGCTCAAGGGTCACGCAGTCGCAGCGGATGTCGACCGAAGGCGGAGAACGGCAGTTTGTACTTGGCGGGCCGCACCACGATCGGCCATGTCGACTGACAGGGCCAGACCGCGCAGGGCAATGCCCACGCTGCCAGTCTGTGTCACGGCAGACAAGGCAGAGGGAAGCACGCACTTTAGAGTACGCTGCCCCGTTTTCTGCGCCCTTTCCAGCTCCGGATCTCGGTAGTGTTTGATCTCCTCCAGCCCTTTGGGCCAAGTCTGTGGGGATTATCTTTGGGCGTTACCATCGTCCCGGCTTACACTTACGAAGGCATTTAGCCCTCATGACATTGCCGGAGACTGACCTCGACTTTTCTGCATCGCCAGATCTCGAGAGAGCCTGCCGTGGTTCGACGTCTAGGCAGGTACGAGAAGCAGCTGGCAAACCGGAGGACGCAGACCAGTCTGCACATCACCCAGGCAGGCACTCAGGGAACCAGGGATATGGCTTCTGGCATCATATTTGCTCTTCCCTTTCTTCCGACTCGCGCGATCTCCGGTTCTTCCCTGGTCGAGCGGCTGGGAAGAGGACGGGACGTCAAGTGACAATTCGGATACTCCAATGAGGAAGGACATCAATCTCAGCAAAATCTCGCGCATTTACATGCAGACGGCATGCATATTGACTCGTTGCATGATGCAGTATGCCAGTTGACTGTCCGCTTGATGCGGCTATAGGCATACGGGCGAATACCATGCGAGAATTGAGAGATGTGGCTTTTCTACTCATCTCTCACAGGCACGAAGATGAGCCAATCGCAGCTAGACGGCAGCTCTTGACTATTCTACTGAGGAGGGCTGGGAGCCTTCTTGTGAGTGGTGATGCTTTCGCAAACCTGCATCGTCCCGCGCATAGTCATGATTGGCTCGACCTGCAGCACATCACTTCAACAAAGTTGGTGATGGGATGATAAGCGACCGGGCACAGAAGAGCGATGTGCGTGGGCTATTGGCCAATGATGGCAGGGATTTAGACGCCCAATTCGGGCGGAAAAGCACGACCGGCCCCATATCTCACGCAAAGATCGGAGAGAACGTGGAAATGTGGGGACGTACCGCGCTTTAGTCCCGGCCAGTCCCACTTTTCTCTTCTATTTTGGCTGACGGCTGCCCAGAGAACCCCTCCCTCTCTCTCAACTCTCACCTCTCCCAGGCTCCCCTCACCATGCAGCTTAACCGCCCAGCGTGCAGACATGGCCCATCCCGGCGGCCATCTTATGGTAGCACCACTAAGGTAACGAGCAACGAGAGAGAGGTGACGGCTGCGATGGTCCCCCCATCGACAGAAAAGCTGCTTTCGTTCCTATTTGCCAGTACACCTCGGAGATAGGGCACACAGCCAACCACAGTACACGGCTGTGTGTGGGTGTCCATTCTTGGACGAGGGGGAACCCCGGCCGGCTGATCCTTTCGACGTTGCCCGCGAAGCTCATCACCAGTGTGATATTGGTTGCTTGCATCGACCATCCACAAGCCTCGTCCTCCCTAGCTCTTCTCTCATTGGGTCGTCCAGTCGACTGACGCTTGATTTTTTGCACGCTACTGTGTACGGCACGCTCCACAGTCCACACTTTTTGCTGACGAGCAACAAGTTCCCCGTTGCGTTGCTCCAGCCATGAACCGGCGCCAGTAGCACCGCATCTCGAGTGGCTGTCTAGGTATCCCAGCCCACCACCACCAACAAGGTGATGGGAGCACAGAGGTAGCGCACACTAGACAGGTGGAGGAGACATGTGGTGGTGGTGTTGGCCTCAATCATGGCCTCTCCTGGGCCTCCTAGGACGGCCCGTCAAACCATATAATGGAAGCATCCCATCCTCTTCGATTCCCTTTCCTCTTTCTCTCTTCAGCAAGCAATCAAACAACTAATTCCAGTTCTTCGTTTTTCCCCCTCCTCCTTTTTTGTTCTTTCTTCTTTCCATAGAGCCGGTCTCTATCTTAATTCACACTCCAAACTAATACCCAATTTTTTGCAAATCATCACCACCAAAGTTGCCGGTCAACTTATCCCCTAGTAACGGAAATCTGGAATTTCTTGCTCAACGCACATTATTCAGCAAAACCACTTAATCGCAGCACCCGTTCAAACGTCAAATACCGCAATAATGTCGTCCACTCAACTCTCCTTCTCCCTTCGTGTTTCCTCCGGTGTCAAGACCGTCCACTTGCTCGGCTCCTGGGACGGCTACGTCGGCCAGCTCCCTCTCTCCAAGGACAAGACTTCCTCCAAGTCCGGCTCATGGAAGGGCACCTTCAAGTTTGGCGGCTCCACTCTCTCCGCCGGCTCCCGCTACTGGTACTACTACATCATCGACGGCTACCACGTTGCCCACAACCCCAGCGTCGCCTCCACCGTTGAGCCCACCACCGGCCGCGAGTTGAACATCCTCGACGTCCCCGCCGGCTCAAAGTCCTCCAGCAAGTCCAGCTCCAAGTCGAGCAGCACCAGCTCCTCCAAGTCTTCCTCAAAGTCCTCTTCCCACTCCTCGTCCCGCAGCTCTCGCCACTCCTCCAAGGACAAGGACTCCAAGTCAAGCCGCCACCGCTCCTCGTCGCGCGACATCCCCAAGGGACGCCCCCTCTCCGTCTCCCAGATCAAGGCCCCCAAGCCCATGTCGCCCCACGCCACCCAGCACATCCTCAACAGCGACTACTGCGATGACGAGACCATTGAGGAGCTCACCGCCCGCTTCGGCGCCGCCGGCTTCGACGAGGAGGACATCGTCACCGACTTCTCTGCCTCCGGCTCCCCCGTCTCCTCCACCGGCTCCAGCCTCTCCTACCGCTCCGACAGCTCCAGCCCCAGCTCCTCGCTCTCCGGCTACAGCACCCCCGGCTCCGACGTCAGCACCTGCACCTGCGAGCGCTACGGCATCACCCGCAAGGGCGACCGCGTCAAGATCGACTGCGGCGGCGCACGCTGCGGCTACGACGACAGCTCCGACTGCTCCGACTCCGAGTCCGAGGAGGAGGAGGAGTACGCTCCCTCCACCACCCGCCGCCACGGCATCGTCGTCAGGTGAAGAGCTTCCAATCCTGCCCTGGGATGGGAGTGACCACAACCACCGCCAAAAGGAAAGCCACCAAATACACGAAGATAGAAGGCCCCCATGTGGCCCGTACATTCATTTCGTCGCGCGACTGCCCCGCGCTCGCCGACGTGCTAATCATTGCATCCACCGAGGAAAGGCAGTTGCGAACCCGAGCCGGTCTCGGGCCCGCCCGCCTCCTCGTTCCAAGTGGGTCGATGCTGCGACCCCGCGCCGCGGTGGCCGCCGCCGTCTGTCCCGTAGACGGAGGTGCTTGGCCACCGCGCGCGTGAACCAAACTCAACCGTTTCGTTTGTCATGTCATCACTTGACAACAGCGGAGCCATCCTCGTATTCCCTTTCATAATAGGGGAGGAATGCGAGAGACCAAGACTCCAGGGGTTGGAAAAGGAGCCAGCGCATCCGCCGCTCCTGGGGAAGAGACCGTTTCCAAGCGGCTGCCGGGGGCTGGGCTTTTGGAAAGCCCCCGGGCATGGCTGCTTTTTTTCATGAAGGCGAATTCATGTAGATAGTTAAGATTACCGCCACAGGCGGCTATGGATAGATGCCGATATGAATCTATCCATCATTTGAACGCAACCTCAACTGTGCACCCGCTGCGTGACAAACGTGATCAGTACCCGTCCTTGAAAATGAGTTTGAACAAATATGAATGATGCTAGTGAAAATTTCTTGTAAATCAGTTAATCTGTGTTCGAGGTCAAAGTCTTCACGGAAATGTTGTAGTAAACTTTGAATTGCCGAAATTGGCAAGTGGGCGATGTCTACGCCGGCAGACCGGGACGGAGTCCAAGAAGCCTTCGGTGTCCGCGCCGGAGGTGGTCCGTCACCCTTCTCCGCATAAATGCCCCGAGAGGTCGGTGCTCGGGGGAAAGATCCCCTGAAGAAAGGTGGTGGGCAGCACTATCCAACAACGTCAGAAAAGGGGGACCCGGCAGTGGGGCACTAGGGCGTTAGGACAAGGGTGTGTGTGTCGCTGTTACAACCCCGCGATGTCAAAGAAATAGGTGCGGGGACTCCACGTCTCTTTCTGTCTCTCCTCTCTCATCTTCTCCTGGCCTAGCTCGAGCGTTCTTCTACAACAAACGACGCTGGATTTTTCGTCTTCAGCCTCACTCTTGGCCCATTCGTCTCAGACGCAAAATATCAATTGAATCACCAGAAAGCAGCCAACCTCCCATAAAACCGAACCGGCACGCAGCCCCCCCTCCAAAGCATTCCCAAAAGCCCACCATGGCCGCCGACTACCCCATCATCGACTCCCACATCCACCTCTACCCAGGGCAAGAAATCGAGACCCTCGCCTGGGCGACCCCCGAAAACCCCCTCGCGAAGCAGCACTCGGTCGAAGACTACGTCGCCGCCACCGGCTCCCCCGCAAACCTCAAAGGCTTCATCTTCCTCGAAACAGACCGCAAACACGACCTCGAAGCCGGCGCCCGCGATGCGTCCGGCTGGGAGTTCCCCCTGATGGAGGTCTCCTGGCTCCGCCGCATCGCCGAGGGCAAACCGCGCGACGGCGAGGGTCACGGCCCCGACCACGCCAGCCTCTGCCTGGGCATCGTCCCCTGGGCCCCTCTACCCTCCGGCGCCGCCGCCATGGAGAAGTACCTCGACCACGTCAAGACTGTTGCGGGCGACGCCGTCTGGCCGAAGATTCGCGGGTTCCGGTATCTGTTGCAGGATAAGCCGCACGGCGCGGGGTTGACGGACGATTTCATCGACAGCTTGAAGCTTCTGGGCAAGAGGGGCTTCGTCTTTGATATGGGCGTCGACCAGCACCGCCGCGGCAACAAGCAGCTCGACGAGGCGTTGGAGATTATCTCGCGCGCTCACGAGGGTGTTCCGGAGGAGGAGAAGGTCACCTTTGTCATCAGTCGGTCCTCCCCCTTCCCTGTCTCTACTATCTCCCATGCCCTTCATTCAAAACCAGGAGCTAACAAACACACCCTAACCAGACCACCTCTGCAAACCCGACCTCGGCATCATAAACACAACAGACCCCTCCTTCGTCCACTGGCGCACCGCAATCTACGCCCTCTCCAAATGCTCAAACACCTACATGAAGCTCTCGGGCGGCTTCTCCGAGATGCCCGACTCCCTCAAGAAGCAGGACCCCAACGCAATCTTCGAGGCAATCTTCCCCTGGCTCGGCGTCGTCCTCGCCACCTTTGGCACCCGCCGCACAATGTTCGGCTCCGACTGGCCCGTCTGCACCGTCGGCGTCGACGAGGCCTGGCGCAAGTGGAAGCTGCTTGTCGAGCGCACCTGCTACATGGCTACCCTCGAGCCAGAGGACCAGGCGGCCCTGTTTGGCGGTACCGCGATCAAGGCGTATGGTATTGAAGGGCTTTGATGTTTTCTCTTTTGTTGTTTGACGCTGTCTATGATTGTGATTTGAGTATGGTGGGTAAGCTTGCAGATCGGGGCATTGTGGGAGAGAATGAAATCGCTGGATTTGCAGCGTCTAGAGATTACATCGCCAGTTTGTACCCGTTGATTCAACATTGGGGCGCGCAGGTATGGGATATGATGATGGCGATCGATATATTACGACTTTGCACACAGATACCACAAAAACAAATACGTGCTTTTTCCTTTCCCTATAACGAACATGTCAAAAAAAGACCCAAAATGGCAAAAGAGACTAACCCCCCGGTGCTGAACTGGGGGCTACATCTCTGGCGCTCATGCTGGGATTCGAACTCGGGTACTCGTATGCGCTGAGCCTGTCGTCGAGTAGGCTGGTTGGCGATTTGATTGTTGACCATTAACCATTCCACCACCCACGCCACAGTTTGACCTGACCCGTCGACCTAGACGGGCGCCTGCTGTGCTGGTGACAGAATTGGACTTGGAGGGGTATATGAAGGTTTGCTGCGTATTCGGGTGGTAGGCAGAAAAGGTATCGGATGAAAAGGTCCGCGATGTGGCTGGGTGAACCAGAGGAAGGAAGGTGCGTGAGTTGGTGGTGGCTGCCCTGGCAGCCGTCGAGGTTCCCGGCATTTACTTTTCTGGCCTTGTGAAGCAGACAAGAAACTCACTCCTAGGCACGATTATAAGCGATAACGCACTTGTATTGAATGCAGACAATCCGAGTTGACTTATGAGCTCGGTGCTAGTTGCTCCAAGCTTTCCTGCCTCGCTCAACCTCCCATATCCTCGATCTCAGCCCTTCAAGAATGATTGAAGGGCCCCCAAAAACACGTAATCCTACTCTTCAAGTCCCTACCCTTGTATAAATCTACACCCTTGCCGTCCTCCAACGATTGATATGAAAATATCTCGTCGTACAAATACAGGCCAGAATTGATTTGAGAGAGCCACCCTTCGCTAGCTATTTTGAATCTCCCCCTTCCACCCATGTATGCCATGTTCCCCATGGCCAACCCTTTGAGATGGCTTAGACCACAGCTCACTCCTGGAATCAGCCAGGAATAGGCCGAAGTGCCCTCTTGGCCTGTCTCGCCTTGCATTCAAGAGCATAGCCGGGCTCGTTTGCCTTGCGCCACTCGATGTATGCCTCGTAACTCTGCTGGCCAACTGTATCAGGGACTCGCGGCTTGGCAGCACATCTGGGCGCCATGTCAGGACCGAACACAGGAGCATTTGCGTTCAATAAAGACCCGTGATGAGGTACCGGTGCTTGTGTTGTCGGAAACGGAGTTGTCCAAGGCCCGACAATAGGCACTACCGGACTGTTGGCCATCTGTCGGACAAAACCAATGGCTGGAGCAACGCGGCTTGTTTCAGAACCATGAGCAGATTGGGGTAGAGTAGACCGAGTCGGATTGAACGGTGACCTGAGGGGTAGCAGAGGGGGGGCTGTTGCTTTGTTTGTAAATGATGGTGTAAAACCTGGAGCAGATGGATCGAATGGTGCGGCAGGTATTTGAGTTGAGAATTCTAGTGGAGGTCTGACAATGTTGTTCTGTGGACCAAAAGCGGAACTAAGAGATACTGGAGGAGGTTGTTGGAAAAGTGACGGATGCAATGTTGGTCTCGGCACGGAGGGGGGCAAATTTAATGGTGGAAAAGCCTGCGTTCCTTGGATGCCAAACTTTGCGATTGTGTTGGCAATAATCTCGTTTGGATCTTGTCCAGGAGCTTTGCTGAAGGTTTGGCTTACTAGTTGCTCCAGAAGAGAGATGATGGTTTTCCTGTCCCTCTCTTCAGCCTTGTCTGGTGTGACTGAAGATGTCTGAGGAGCGAAGGTGGAAAACTCCCTTGCTATTGGGTTAAGAGTTCGAGCCTTGGCCAGTCCTCTGGTATCAATACCAGAATCCTCGGAAACTTGTCTTGGGCGAGCATCGCCATTTCTGGTGACCTGGTATTTTGACTGTTCGCCTTGCAAAGGTCGCTGGAGTTTTCGCAGAAGCCCCTGAAAGCGATCATCTTGGTTGTGTTCGGAACCGCTGTCTGTTGGCTTGGTATCCCGGAAACCAATGTCAATAATGGCTGGGTCGTGAATGACGGCCGAGTCACTCAAAATTTGATCTTTCCGTAGGTCTGTAGAATGGTTCTTGTTGCCCAAGTCGTCGCTCTCTTCGTGCTTGCAAGGGCGTAGAAGATTTGCCATGGAAGACTTCCGAGGTGTGATCCTGGTATCCTCCAACTGCTTATTGAAGTCGACAAGACTATCGCTCTGCATGTGCGACTTGAAACGATTCGCATTTCTAATGCTGCGTATCTCTGCGTTGTTGAACATGCCGTTGTGTTCCTTGCAATTGAGGTCGGTGCATTCGTGGATAAAAACGTCCAAGACCAAGGAGTCAGGACCCTGCTTCTAGGAGGAGTTCTTGCTCTGACTACTCGGAACAGGTACGGCATTGACCACGGCACACTTCTTCGCGCGACCGATCATGATCATTCCCTTTGTTGAGGCATTACTGTTGTCTCTGGATATGGGATCGGTCGCGGTTTGAAAGGGGGAAACGCCAGCCACGGGCTTCCGCCAGTGGGTAGCCGACTCAGCTATGTCGTTGGAGTCGGTTTCAGCACTCGAATTTGTTCTTCGCCTTCGACGCATGCTGAGTTGTGGTGTATTATGATCGTGAGGAAGCAACGGCCTGCGCCAATTGGCAGAGGCCAATGCCACCGCTGCCTTCTCCATGTCTCTGCCATGTTTGTTAGTGACACATTCTAACCCGAAAGGAAGAAGAAAAACTGAGGCATACGAAAGAGTAGATGCTCTAGGTTGGCTGGAAGTGTCGAAAATGGTGGATTGGAATAGCGGTGTTCTCGACGGAAGTCCAGGCCGAAGAAGGACAATAGAGCCGGAATTGTCTGAGGAGGCTATGACGACAGGCGTAATGAACCCAAAGTGAGGTGAAGAGAGATCTTCGCTGATGTAAAAAACATGCGCTGAGGCCCTTAAGTCTGCGATGATGTGTCCAAAATTGGAGAGCTGAGGTGGTGGGTGTGATGTTGACGGATGATGGAGATGTTGGCGGTATGTTGGCGGGAAACAAACGCGCCGAGGTCGTATATGCTTGTCGACGCATTGCCCGGAGAATCTGCTCCGTGTGGTGGCAGATGAGGAAAGAAAGGGGAACATCGGGATCGTCGTGAGGAAACAGCAGGCTGCATGTTCTCGTCCTCGCTGCCGGGAAGGCCTGACCAAGAGCAACCACTCTAGCGTATAGTGATTGTGGAAGATGCACAGTTTGCAGGTATCTGAAGTGAGTCGGGCAAGAACCAAGTCAAGAACCACCATCACCTTGATTTCGTTGTTGAAATACTCTCGCAAGCCTCAGTTAAGTCTAATATCATACTGCATCATGGCCATTGTTGAAAGAACGCTGGAAGAAAACACGCGTCAATAAAGAGAGATAGGATATCAATTTTAACACGCTAGATGTCGTAGAAAACTCGGAAACATCGCCAACTAATGATGAACCCAGATAGAGTAAGGTATGCAAACAAAACATCGGCCAGTACATTCGTCCAGCCTAGCCTCATCCATTGCATTACATGCCTTGATTCGCTTGTCCAGACAAGTAAGCACTGAAATGTTTCTGTGGTCCATAATGTCAGCGTAATTCGACGACAGCACATTCAGTTGACAGAAACCTACCGCATTCCTCGTCTGCATGAAGACAGTTCCTGGGCCGGTAAATTTACACACCAGGCCCTCGCCAGAGGAGAGACCAGAGATGATACCACCGGATGCGACTCGTTCCATAATGTACTTCACATTCCATGCCACCAAGTGACCATTATCAACAACGTACTTTTCGCCTTCCATGAGCTGGATAAAAGTTTAGCCCTCACATCACTTGTACGGTCGTGCCCAGGGCACTTACATCTTTGCGGATAATGGCACCGAAACTGGTCAGCCAAAGCAGCCCGGTACCGCTAATCTTGTACACATACAAGCCCTCGCCACTGAAAATAGCCTTGCTGAGGCCCTGGCGCTTGTAGTCCTTGATCACGCCCTGCGTAGAAGCAAGCCAGGCGTCTTGGCCAACCGACCACGTCTCCTTGCCCGTGAGACGCAGACTAGTGATATCACCAAGCATGGGCGGCGCCAGGAGAAGCTCGCCGGGTCCCACGTAGGTCGAGCTCGCCAGCTCAGCGCCGGCCACGAGCTTCTTCATGCTAAACTTGATCTGGCCCCTGAGTGTGATGGAATGCGACATGGCGACCATGACACCGGGCTTCGCTTGCAGTGGGCACCCCATGGCGAGCTGGACGGTCAGGATGGTGTTGCTGTCGCGGTGGCTGATGCGGTAGCTGCCTCCGTTGAAGGTGCCGACGTCGTCGACGGTCGCGGTGGCGCCGATGAAGTGCTGGGGCGGGGGCGCGCCTCCCACGAGGTTGGACGGGTTGCTCGTGTCGACTGGTGCTTCCTCCACGTGCTGCTTCTCTGGCAGGCTGGAGGCCTCGGGCGGTCCGTCGAAGGCGGGAAGCGGAGGGGAGAACTGAGGCTGGGAGTCGGGGGTGCCTGGTTGCCGTAGGGGAAGCTGCGTCTGTTGGTGCTGCTGGTGCTGAGGAGAGGGCTGCGGCGACTGCTGAGGGGGTGGTTGATACTGCTGCTGCTGCTGCTGCTGCTGCTGCTGCTGGGAAAGACCGGGAGGTGGCGGGTATTGCGCCTGATTCTGCGAGGGCGTCGTGGTGCCTTGGGGAGGAGGCGGGTACGTCCTCCCCTGACTCGGCGATGCCTGCGGCGGAGGAGGGTAGCTCGCGCCATGTCCTGGCGACTGAGGAGGAGGCGGATAGTTCTGGGGCGTACTCGACTGAGGAGGAGGTGGGTAGTTATTGTTGTTGCTGCTGTGTTGTCCGGCAGCTTGGGGCGGAGGAGGGTAGTTTTGCGACTGCCCTTGCGAAGGCTGAGGCGGTGGTGGATAGCTCCCGCTATGGCTGCGCTGAGGTTGTGAGGGAGGAGCAGGGTACGAGAACTTTGTCTGGTTCGCGGGAGGGGATTGCGGCGGCGGGGGATAGTTTTGCTGCGCTGTGATTTTGATTGTCTTGTCAGCGCTTTCATCCGGGGACACTGCTTTCGCTCAATTGGACAACGTACCTCCCGACGGAGGAGCTGGAAGTGGTGGTCAGCACGAGTTTCGTTGCCTTGCTGTATGGCGGGGTGAGAGTGAAGAACTTACGTGGATAATATTGGGAAGACATGATCTCTCGTTAGACGTCGCGTCTCCTCGGTGGCGTAGGTTTCGTGAATATTATTGCGAGAAGAAGCCGACTCGAATTGAAGACAAGACGAGGTGAGTGGAATCGAGAGAAAAGAAGGGTGAGTTGATCTGGCAGCAGGTCAGTCGGACGCCAAGCTGGTCGCATCCCACCTCATGGGCATCGCCATCGCCATCGCCTGCCCCGCACTTACAGTTTGTCACCCAACAGCCCAATTGCAGAGCGTCGTGATACAGTCAGCTTCAAGTCTCACGAACAGCAAGTCCTTTATCGCTTTGTCTTTGAGTCGCCGAAGCTTCCGAGATGAATGTTCAAAGCACCAAGAAGCAAGAGAAAGAAAACAATTGTCGCGCCAAAAAAGACAATGGGCGCCTCGGGGTTCTGGGTCATTAAAGAGGGAGCTTCCCACGCGCCAGAGCAATCCCGGCAAGCTTGCTGAGCTGCAGGAAGAAGCTCCGCCAGAACCCCCACCCCCTGTCATGGCCATGAAATGTGGCCGCATCGCCGCCACCTGCACCCCCAGCTTCCCGTTGGCCTGCATGGGAATAAGTGTGGTAGCTGTGGTAAAGTGGTAGGGCAGTTGTATTGGTGAGCTTTCGATGTTGGACCGTCGTCCAATCGTTTGGGGCTTGCCCAGCGCGATGGAGAGAGTCTCTAACTCTTTTCGGCGTCAGGTGAAGAGGGGCGGCGCTTAGAGACGTCCAACGGCGACTCGCCCTACCATTGGTCCTTTGCCTCTATACCTATTCCATTTCTCGGGAATCTCATGCCGCTCTCTGAGCCTTAAGAACTTTGTCAAATTTTGCGTGTCCATGGAAGTGAACCACTTCCTTTGAGCTTTTGATAGATGTCGTTTCTTGCAGACATTGTAGATGGGCTTGGCTACACTAAAGACCACAAACCTGAGGTAGGTACTTACCAGTACTTAGGCACATGGAGTTGAGGCGTTGCCAAGTTATGCTCGAGAGATTCCTTCAGAAGCGCTTGTGAGACCTGCAGAAGAGCAACGAAATACCAAATCTAAGTTTGGCTTGTGACAGAGCTGAGCGGAACACGAAGTGGAATGGCGCCCGGCCAATGGAGCAACACCGGACCGGCCATATCGGCCGTCTAATGTGGGGCCGATTCCAGCAGCGGACTGCGAGTGACATTTCGGACTGCGAACGAGCAGAGGGAATAACATTCAGAGAGATAACGCAGATAGATCATTGGATTTCTTTTCTTTCCTCTTCATTCGTTTCCTTCGTGATTCCCACAATGCCTACCTAACGCCGTTGGTCCCATGCTTTTTTTTTCTTCTCTTTTGTCTACACCCAGTCTCCCCTTTCCATTTAGAAAGCCATCTTCTCGTGCTTGAACGGCTTCTGGCCCTCTCCCTCACCGTACGCCAACGAAACCTGACCCTGGCCGCGAATCTTGTACTTGTAAATCATGAGGCCCTCCAGCCCGACGGGCCCGCGCGAGTGGATCTTGTTGGTGCTGATGCCGACCTCGGTGCCGAAGCCGTACCGCATGCCGTCCGCCATGCGCGTCGACGCGTTCCAGTACACGCCCGCGGCGTCGACGGCCGCCATGAAGCGCTCGGCTTCGTCGGACGACGAGGTGAGGATGCACTCGGTGTGCTTGGACCCATGGGCGTGGATGTGCTGCACCGCCTCCTCGAGCGACGAGACGACCTTGACGGCGAGGTCGAGAGAGAGAAACTCGGTGTCGTAGTCTACGTCCTTGGCATCGACGATCTTCGAGGCCGCGTCGCCAGAGATCTTGGACTGGACAGCGGCCTTGGACTTGGCGTCGCAGTGCAGCGTGACGCCGGCCGCGACTAGCGCCTCCGCGGCGGCGGGGAAGACGGAGTCGAGGGCGGATTCCTGAACGAGCAGGGTCTCGACGCTGTTGCAGGCGGCCGGGTAGCTCGTCTTGGAGTCGACGAGGACCTTGGCCGCCATCTCGGCGTCGGCGGAGTCTGTCAGGTAAATAGAGCAGAGGCCGTCAGCATGGCCGAGGACGGGGATCTTTGTCGACTCCTTGATGTAGCGCACGAGCTCGTTGGAGCCGCGGGGGACGACGAGGTCGATGGAGTCGTCGAGGGCGAGGAGCTGGGGGATGACGTCGCGGGTGGTGACGAGCTGGACGGCCGGGTTGGGCACCTGGGACTTGTCGAGGGCGGCGGAGATGACTTTTGAGATTGCGATGAAGGACTCTGTGGATTCCTTGCCGCCCTTGAGGATGGCGGCGTTGCCTGACTTGATGGCCAGGGAGGCGATGTTGGCGATGACCTCGGGGCGGGCCTCGAAGATGATGAGGAGGACGCCGATGGGGCAGGTGACTCTCTCCAGGACGAGGCCGTCGTCCAGCTTGGTTCTGAGTGTGACTTTGCCAACTATATTGAGAGTCAGAATACTGAATGACTGTTGTGCTTGTGAGTCGAGGTAAAGTGAGTGAGTACATACCTGGGTCCTCGAGACCTCT